ATCTAGCCCATTTGGCGGGTTTCGAAACAGTGTTTGCTTATTTGTTTACGCACGTAGCTAACGCCGATTCTCATTGGATACTAACCAGACATGCATGCAAGATAAGCGAAGAGGGCGTGGAGCGCTTGCCCCACCACACAACGACGAGAAGAGCTCAATGTCTCGGCGTGCAAAGCCTCCGTAGCTTTGCTTGTTCAGTCTGAGCGCTCGCCTTCTGCCCTGGACTGGGAGACTGAGTGTCGCGGCTGGCGGCCCGCGGTCCGGGCCCCCGCGCCAACTGGTACCTGTGATTCAGACCGCTCGTATGGCAACCTCAGGAGGCCGCCGCACCCTGCCAGCTCCGTCCCTGACGGCGTTCAGCTGTACCCAGCATTTGCTGCAACCGGACCGACGCATCAGCAGCGTTCATCACTGTCCGAGCGGAGGCCACAGGGGCCAGCCGGCGGGTACGGGCTCGGTAGCCGAGACCACGCCGGGAGACGACAGCCCAGTCGACATGGTCTCCTCTCCTCTGTCTCTGTCTCTGTCTCTGTCTCTGTCTCTGTCTCTCTCTCGACTGCTGAGTACGGGCTTAACACGCACATGGGGGGGGGGGGGGGCGGTTGAATACCCTTCACTCGGATGGAGTGAGGGTGGGCGTGGGGTCAATATGACGCCCCTGAGACCTCAGAAAATGAGAGCTGGACGCGTCATATTCACAAGGTATGTTGGACCGCGCGTGAATTCACTTGTCTCACAATTTCAGGTTCCTGGGTCATGACCTTCGGGTCAAATAAGGTCTAAAAAGTCAAACTCCAGATTAGTAACCAAGGTGCCCCCTCCCCCTCCCCCCACCCATACCTTCTCATGCAACCGCTGTGAACCTAGATGCCTATTCTGAGCAAAAGGTGACTGGTGCCCATTTAAGGTCAGTGACGTTGTGTGACCTTCCGAAGGTCATGGTGACCAAAAACGTACAAGACTGCTCTGATTTTTGCACTTGAATAAGCGTTAAAGCTTACGCTAGGCAATACTTTTCTAACACAAAATGTTGACCTAAGCTATTTTCGGTCAGCGACCTATTTCCCCTAGAAAATTGTGTTCGCTCAGTCCATGACCTGACTTTGACCTGCCGTAGGTCAATGGCTTTACATGGTATATCTACATTTTTTACACCAAACCACCCGCTATTCAACTGTCTACAGCTATGCAAAATTTTCGCACGGCTACGCCGCGCCGTTCGAAAAACATTCTGCAACCATTTTTCCGGGGATTCACATTTATTCTCCACCCGAGCGCGTGTTATGAGTCCAGGTGCATTTGTATCCTTAACCGATGGTGTCCAGCGAAGTGGGTGGACTTAGAACCTGATTTGCCGACAGATTTGGGAGAAATTCCGACCTTGCAACATAACCACAGATTCACCGACACTCAAAGCATGGCGCGTTCATAAACGAGGCAAATGAGTACGTCTTGCGATCAATATTTGTCCATTGATTTTGGCCACAGATACTGCTTTCAATTGTCCTGTGCCATAGCGACTTGAGCCAACCCGCTCCAAACTATTGTCCGCTCTCCGTGCACCCTGGTGTGGAACAAAGAGGAGCGAGCACCGAGGAGCGGCAAGGGACGCAACCAGCATCGGACCTGCAGAGCCCGCCAGCTGCCATCAAAATCGTTCTAAAAATATTGTGTTGGCAAGGATGGAAGCCATCTCACACCCATGCCGTTCTTCAAGCACCTTTAATTCGAAAGAGGGTGCCAATTCGGCGCTTAAACAAACAGCACACTGAGAGCTCGCACACTAGCCGTGCCGAGTACCAGGCGCCAGGCCGCAGCCAGACTCGGAGTCTCCATGCTATGTCAACGGGACCCCTGGCGCGGAAGTGCCGCCCGCGTGCCCGGCCGGCCATTCCCACCCTCGGCCGGGCGCCAGCCGCAGGTGATACAGGATAGTGCTGTGCACGTCCCATGCGCGAGGCGAGCGGAGGCGCCAGCCATCGCCGCGACTACAGGTGGGGTGGGCTGGGGCCCGACGTCCCTCCGGCGCCCGCCAGCTGCGCCAAATGTACAGCTGACCCTACTCCTTGCAGCGTGCAACCATGCTTTCCGGGCCAAGGCCACGCAGCTACGCAAGATTTGAGGGCCGCTCCGAGCATACCTGATCGAAATCTGCCCGCCTGCGTGGCAGACGAACGCCAAGTGTCATAACCCATCCAAACCAGTGCAGCCTGGGCTGGCACATGGGCTGTTCCAAGTCGTGTCCGTTCTATGCCACGATATTTTGCATCCTCTCGGCGCCTGATTAAGTTCTGGCAGCCGCTTTCCGCAGGTTTCAGTTGCGGTGACATGACTCCTTTCGGCGGCTGCCCTATCCGTCTCGGTCACGCCATTTCGCAAGCCCATCACCCACCGAAATGGCAATGCCTTAAAGCCTTTCTTAAGATGACGGGCAACTTAATATTGTTCGCGTTCCTGAGCCCGTCCCAGAATGTGACAAATGGCTATCCCTTTCATATGCAGCCCCCCCCCCCCCCCCTACTACCACCACCCGCCCGCGCCAGAGATCAGCACCCTGACGGGACCCCCGGCAGCCTGATTGGCGAACAAGCGGCAGCCAAAGCCGGCCGGGGTGCGCGCCTCTGCCCAGATATGTTCATTCTGAGGCGCGAGATCCACCGCCTGGTGCAGCCGACGTTCTCGCAAATCAAATGCGGCTACATGGAGCAGAAAGTGTCCCGCGAACGCGCATCATGATGCAGTTTCAGCCGGGCATGGGACGAAAGCGGATAGTGGGTGGGGGCGCGCACGGCTCCCACGTGGCCGCTCCCACGCGCACGCTCCCACGTGGCATCATCCGACTTACGGATGAATATTTCCCCGACGAAAGAAAGGCGAAATCGACAGGACTCTCTAAGCGCCTACATGTATCCACTGTCGTCGCCAGAGGTACAGAAAGCACAGCGCGACGAGGCGAGCTGACCGATCTATTTCAAAAGCAAACATATCGGGCGGAATTCTGCTGGTTGCTGCAGTCAAGTAGAATACGTCAGCACCATGGCAATGAGTCCGCGAAGGCCGGTGGTGCCGTAGTGGTTAGGGAGCTCGATTCTGGACCTGTCGGTCTTGGGTTCGTGCCCCTGCCACGCCACCATAGTATCCCACATGATACCTAATACAGGCATTCATCTCGAAATGACCGTGGCAGTCAGTGAGACGTCAATCCCCAAGCATTATCACAATCTATCATCGACCAGCCTCCGCGCTGAACAGGGCCCGTTTAACGCTCTAAAGCTCGTAACGCCATCAACCAGACGAACCGGCAACGGCCTCATTCCGTAGCAGCTCACGGTGGAGACCTGATGTTAAAAGCGGCAGAAACTGTTTCTGCTGGAGAAGCGTCGGAAACCTACCGTGCATTCTACTCGTCACCGCACTCCATGCTTCCCATGAGTTTTGCTTGCCGCGTACCAGTGCACGGTCACGACTGCATCACTGCACAGTCACGGCCGCGTTCCGAAAGCCGGCCTGAGCGGCCGCCACGGGTCGCTCACCCTGCGTGTACACGAGGGGCACGGAAGATCCAGTCATAATTGAGCACGTTGCCGAGCCCGGAGCGGAAGGCGTTGATGCTGTCGACCAGCGTCTTGACGGCGAAGTCGTCGCGGATGCGGCCCTCCTTGCGGGCCTTGGTCACGATGCTGCCGGCCCACACCAGCGGCATCAGTATTTGAGGTGCGGCGGTCTTCTTGTTCATGATCTCGAATATCTTCCTCTCCGTTTCCGTCATGATACCTGTTCGGAGGGCACAGACGGCTGTAATTTGGAGCCTAATGCATCTGGAGCTGGCTGGAATGCGTTCACCACAGATGATATTTACACGAACGACCGTATGCCTGCATCGCCGCCCGTCTGGCCCCGCACGTGGTCTCATCCCACCGCGAGTGGGACGGCACGCAACGCACGCACACCCCCCCCCCCCCCCCAGAAATCGCATTACGTGTTTTCAGTTACCAACCTTCCAGGATGAAACAAAAAATGCGCGATCGGCTTGGAAAGACGACAGGATGGTGATGATGAGTATTCGCGAGCTTTCAATCGGGGCCAGTTTAACAACGGTTGCCGACGGTGCTAATCTGAGGTTTAAGCGAGCGACCGGGCCTGTCAACAGACCATTTCCAGTGCATTTTCTCCGCACCATTGTAACACGGCGACAAGAGTGCATCTTCGGTTCGGAAAGTTCACGTGACGCTAAATATCAATTCCATACCAACTTTAAGTGAACATAGGTTTCGCAGCATCTACCATCGGTGTGGAAGTGACGTCTGAGCGTGCGAAGCAGGTGCCAATCGACGTGCCCACAGCGGACTTGTCGGGCACGGTGTCAGTGATATCGTTATCAAAAACCTTGCCCACAGAAAATGGACATAATGTGGCAGCTTCTGTTATCACCTGATCAAATCCACTTTCATTTGAGATCGGTTCATTCAGTTATGAACCGATCTAAAATGAAATTATCATTATTGCCATTAGTCTCACTTGATCCATACCGTCAACGACTTATCGGCACTTGCAACAGAAAAACAGCGCAGGGTGTTCGCCGCCAACAGAAATTGGTCGACGCGAGGCAGGCAAGCTCAAACATCCCAGGTTATAGCAAATTCGTCATCGCTTGTCACGCGGGGTCAGCAGCGGCGGCCAACTGAAACGCCAAGCTTCACACCACTCCGCAGCGAAGTATGACAGCAATTAGATAGCAGTCTGAAAGGACAGGGAAACTTGTTTTTAAATATCAGTGAAACGCGAGCAGCAAAGCTTTCAGCCCGTAGACCGTCATCTCACACAACTCGGTGGTAGGCGCCGGGTGTCCACATACACGCCCCCAAACACCACAACCAAATCCAGGGATCTCAGCACGTAATGAGACTCTGCCGCTGCCGCCCTGACTTCACGGCCCCGCGGTGCTGCGCATCGGCCGCCAGCTCCACAGCCGAGACCCGAGCCGGGTCGGCGGCACTCACCTGCCTCCACCAGGTGATCCAGCGTGGGGAAGCGCTTCTTGACGCGCGTGCACACCTGGGACATGGTGTAGACGAATGCCAGGTTGACGTAACGCATGATGGTGCGTCGGACGAGACGGCCCCGATCGTCCTGCCGGCACCGGACCAATGCTGGTCACCAGGCTGACAAAGGCCATTAAGTCACCCAGGGTCACAGATCAGGATAGGTCATAAGGTCATCAGGCTTGTACGGGTCACCAGGTCAGCAGAGGCCGCGAGTTCCCCCGATCAGCCACGCTAAGCGTATGCCACAATTTCAGCGCGGGTCACAAGAGCGGCGAGTAACCCGGTCCGCACAGGTCACACTGCCACCAAGGGTCAGCGAGTCACCAGACCTGCTCATGTCACTACGCTGGCGACGGCCAACAGGTCAGCATACGCCAAAAGGTCAGTAAAGGTCATCAGGTCAGCAGAGGCGCCCCACACGGACAGGACGTTCCGCGAACCGGACCGATGGCTCGTCACAGTGGCCTCATCCCGTGCGTTCCTCAACACCCAACTCAGCACGGCCGTCGGTGTGGAATTTGCATTCAACACTCCGAGGCAACAGTTTTCAACAGTTTTCTATTGACCCCGAATGCAGCCGCCACCAGGGAGAGCGGCAGGTGACGCCATGCGGCCGCAGCAGTTGTGTGCGTTTGAAGCCCCGATGGTCACGGTACTAACGGCAACCACAAAAATGTTTTGGAAGGCACAGTCCCTTTACGGGATAACCATAGTAGCTGCCCACGTCAGCCCCAGCACGAACGCGGTTTCCTATCCAGGCGGGTAAATATTTGACGTTTGGGTGAGGAGACGAGATATGTTTTACATCACCTGGCATTACCTTACCTACCTGTAAGCGGTAAGGTGAAATAGGGAAATAACCCACTCAAAGGATTCCAGGGGGCCGAAGCGATCAAAGGGTCAAAAGCGCCAGAAACGGGTCAGCCACCACCGAGAAGACAAAAGGTTGGCTTAACTCTGTGCCAGCTGCCCAACACCATTGATTACTGGCTTTCGTGAGAACTTCCCAAGTATCCAGCATGTTTTGCATCCGTCCTAAGGTGTCAAACCCTGACCGGTCACCAGACAGAGGTCAGCAGTGATGACCTACAGTGAACGGGCATGACTGGTGACCGGGCCGGGGCAGCACCAGTCCTGCTCTGTCCCGGACTTGGACCCGCCGTCTCCGCTAAAGGCAACGTCAGGTTCTGCTGCGTACCTGATACAATCGGCATCACGCCCGTGAGGGCTAGAGGCGCTCTGCCATGGGGGCAAGTGGGGGGGGGGGGGGGGGGCGGGGGGGGCGGGGGGGGGGGGGGGGTATGTGGAGGAGTTAGGAGTGTGAAGGTTATGTGGAGGAGAGAGAAGTTCGACAAGCGAGGTGGTTGTCTACATTGACTAATACTGATAACTTCGACATGGAAGTTTACACAGGTCCTCTGAGAGATCCATCCAAGACAAATTGGAGGTATTTCGAGCTGTACGCATATTGGTTGACCGCAGGCGGCCATACACGGCGCTGTACTCGATACATGTCCGAAGACTGCACGCAAATGTCAAGTAGCACCAGAGGGCGGGACGGACCGCGCCGAGCATTGCGGGACGTTAACCTTGCGCCGCAAAAATCGGCCACTGAGCCGGACTTCCCCGCTCGGATGGTGGGGTCCTCTCTTAAGTTCCGAGGGGGCCGAAGGGCCCTCCGGAACCTACGATGAAAGGTCCAATTTGAGGGCCCAAAGGGTCCGAAAGGCCGGCCGGAGGTCGTATTCAGCGGTTCAGGCTGCGGGGCCGGGCCACTGTCCATGTCACGGTCAATGTCGCGACCCTGCGCGGCCCATGGAGACCGCAACGCCTGGCGTCATGGTTTTTGTTTCAAAGGTTTGCGAGCGCTCATGTTCAGAACTACTTTGCATAATACGCATCTCGAATCGACTTTGACTGAACGCTGGACATTTGCAGACAAACGTGGCTTGGCTATGCTAATACAGATTACATTTCGATATACAAACCATATTCGCCTTACCTTATATCTCTGTAGAAACCAGACACAAATTCTGACGAAGGTTCTGAGTTTTGTCGGTTTAGAGAGCGCACCGCAGCCTTGCAAAATGGGGAGCGCCGGTATTTCGTTCATGAAATCGCTCAACGCATGATTTCTTCAGTTTATTTACCACACAATTCAGACAGAATCTACCTCGCAGCAGGTTCTGGCTTCTATTCCGGTTATAGAAGCGGAGACATGAAAAGCAAATCGAACAAAATCATGCCCTCATTAACAAATGAGACATATCCGATGATTTTTCGTGGGGGTGGAGGGGGGGGGGGGGGGAGGACGACTATTCGCTATCAGGGGTCATTTGTCAATCCTCTGCTTCACCCTTTGCCAAGGTTCTGGCTGCGCGCCTGATCCAAGGCGTTTATATGTCCAAGATGGTTCTCGATGCATTTTTTGCTGTGACTGCTCATTGTCGCCGAGAAGGGAAAAGGTTTCTGGACTGGGCTCTGGCTGTCCTTGTGTTCGACACGAGCATGCGCCATGAATGAATACACAGCTCGGTAGCCCTGGCAGAAGCCCCCTTCCCAGGGCAGCCGCACTCGATGCGGTCAAAAATCGTCAGCCCTCGCCTGCGTCGTCAGTTGATATCGTGAGTTATGATACATTAGGGGTTATGATATACTAGGTGTTGTGATGCGTTAGGTGTAAATCTATACTAGTTGTGATACAATAGGGGGTTGCAAACATCAGGGAGACTGCGATACGGTCGGCGTTATGTAAAAATTATAAGTTATGATACGAAGTGCTCTGATTCAGTACGTGTCATATGTAAGGAGTTGCGAGACATTAGGGGTAATGAAACATTAGGTGCTTTGATACCCTAGACGCTGTGATACATCAGGCGGTGTGACACATTAAGCGTCGTGATGCACCAGTGCTTGCAAACATTAGGGGTTGCGATAATCCTCCAAAACGGACATGGCGGTGGACAACCGCATCCCATTCCAAGCATTCCCAGCATGCAATCCAGTCGGTCGAAAGCCAGGCGCAAGTCTGAAGCCTGGTGATTCGTTTATCCCCGTCGCCCGTCCGCAGCCAAGGAAAAAACAACCGCGGGCATTGTGTTTGCTGCGGTGCGAGTCATAAATTGCGCCCGAGCGACACCTAATAGCGGAAAACGAAGGCCAGCACAAAGTTCGTGCGAGGCCAGCAGGCACTTCACCGCCATCAACAAACAGTTAACCGCGACGAACGCACAAACAGATGGTCGAAACCGCCACTTCCCTCCATTCCGGTGATAGCCCCGAGGAACAAAGCCGTGAGAGCACCCGATAAACGCGGCCCGGCCGAGCGAGGTGGGCGCAGGGCACGTCACAGGTGTCCGCTTCTCGCGCGGAAGGCTGCCAAGCCCTGGAGTCACGCTCGGCGGGCGGGGCGGAGCAACAAGGCAGGCCGACACAGACCGCCCGCCAGCGGCAGCTGACCGCGGCAGCAGTCAACGACCCGACCACGCACGACGGGCGAAGCCGGCGGCGTTCGGCACCCGCGATTCACGCCACACGGCTGACGAGGCGGGCCGCCACCAAAGTAGCTATCTGTCTGTAGCAACAGCGCCCAATTCCCCCATTGGCGCTGGATGCCGCGGGCGACATTGCCAGATGGCGTCACCGGCGATCGTGACCCACTGGCACAGGGTGCCAGTCGCGGCACGCGTCGCGATGGGCGTGTAGCGGGCCTCGAAGTGAAGCTCTCTGAACACGTCGTGGCCAATGAACACCACTGTGACGTTCAGCACAGATGGACATTTAACAATTGCGACGCACGACTCTGTTGCTAGATAAACATCTCACCACGACTTGTGCAGCCGCGCGACATGAGCGCAGAGGCGCGTGTCATCGATTATCATATACCCGTCTCTCCCGGATGTTGCTACGTCGACAAGAAGGGGAGCCGCCCTTACCGGGACGGACGAACTGCTGTGCTTTTGGAGACGGCTTTCCCCCAGGTATATCAACCATATGTCGTGGAACTAGTTCCGTCGCATGTTGGAAGTCATATCACGGGTCAGGCGGCGGTTACTGACGCCAATAACCGGCCACGACCCGCGGCGTCGAAAACAGTGTTAACTTCGCCGGGGCAAGTTGATTTGCTTGGGCAAGGCTCGAACGCCCAGATGCTGGAAGGGTTACGCCCCCATCCACCGGACGCGTTTGGAAGTTCATCCTGTATTAATTGCCCACTAAAATTGATCTCGTGTCGCACGCATTGCGCGCGACCAGGAAAGGCGGCCTGGTGGTGGCTGTAAGAGGTCGCTGCCCTGCCGCCGAGCATGACACAGGCGCCTCGGTCCTCGGAAGTCGCCTTTTACTCTCCGGCTTCCCAGGGAAGCCGCAGACAGCAGGCCGAGGCGAGGCGGCCGGCCGGCTGGCCGTGCAGGCTCTGGCAGAGCCGCGGCAGAGGCCGAGGCGAGGCGGTCGGCCGGCTGGCCGGGCAGGGCTCTGGCAGAGCCGCGGCAGAGGCCGAGGCGAGGCGAGGCGGTCGGCCGGCTGGCTGGGTAGGGCTCTGGCAGAGCCGCGGCAGAGGCCGGGTCACCGTGACGCACGTCAGCGCCGCACGATTCAGACACACATTCCTGACATTTGCAGAAGTCCATCAAAGCAGTCGCCGTTTTCAAACCACTTTTTCGCCATATATAGCCCGTCGCGGTTGGGCGCCATTTCTTGCAGCTTCCCTCCAATAGTGTTCAATTTTGCTGCGGAGAATCCTTCGTCCAAACGCTGCCTGAAAGCTGAACAGATTTCCCGCCAGAATTTCTTAACGGCTCGGCACCGGCCGTGGCAACAGCGACATAGCAGCCAAGACGGCCCACCAGGGTCCTCTCCGTAGTCGCTAGCGGTAATTTAGCTTCCGGGCCCGCAGGCCTTCCTTTATTGCCATTTCGGGGGCTGTTTTACGGTGCATGTAGCTGCTGTGGTCATTAGGGTCGCCAGACTTGACGGCGCACACAGCCAATAGTACGCGGCCTGATCTGCCTGATCCGCATTCAAACGCCTGCCGGTAAATGATCGCTTCGGGCGGACCCACACCGCATATGGCCATGCAGACTGACGGCGAGCGAGCGCTCGGACCAAATGCCGCGCGGCCATCAAGCATCTTCCCGTCTTCCAGCAGCCCGGCAGTCATGCAGGGCAGCTGCACGACCGTCAAGGGCAGACCGCACCATCGCCTCGCCAGCGTCAGGCAGGGACCGCCGCTGGCCGCGGCGTTGAGCCGGGGCCGTCGCTGGGCCCCGGCCGTCCGCCGCAATGGCTGTATCGAATCCCGGACCGGCAATTACCTCGGGTTACGAGAGGGTTTGAGGCGGGTTATGGCGCAGCCTGAAGCGCGGCGCAGCTGGAGCACGAGCAGGAGTATGCGGGAGCAGCGCGGGCCGCTCGTCCCCGGGGCCGGCCACGACATGCGTCGCCGCCGACCGGCCCGCGGCCGCGGCGACGTGCGGCGGCCCGCAGCGCGGGCAGCGCCGGACGCGAGTCGAGCGCGGCCCGCGACTTATCACGGCGCGCCTGCCAACGTCAACGGTGAGGTCGCACACCAGCCAGCGGCAGGTCATGGGCGAGCGACGCCGGGCCGCGTCCCAGCGCGCGCCGACCGCCAAGCCCGGGCCGGCGCCCGCCCCCGCCGCCGACGCGCCGACCAACAGAGCGTCGGGTGCGGAGACGGCGCGCCGACCGCCAAGCCCGGGCCGGCGCCCACCCCGCCGCCGATGCGCCGACCAATAAAGCATCGGGTGCGGAGACGACGCGGCGCCGCTCGGCCCGCTGCCGGCCGTACCGGCCCGGCCCGCGCCGGCCCGCGGTGTCCCGCCTGAAAACCGGCCAGGTTACCGCCTCACGGCGGCCGGTGCCATGCCGGCGCGCCATCCGGCGGGCCCGAGGCGCCTCGCGACTGGTGGAGATGGCGATGCTGCAACGCCAAGGTCAGCATGCGCCAGGCAGGGGCCGCCACTGGGGAGCGTTGCAGGCCCTCTGGCAAGGCGGCAGCCGGCGCGGACGACGGCACAGCCCATAATTAGACCTCCGATGAGCGCCCGCACCGGCCGGGAGCGATTGTGTGCTATTGGCCGGTTCAGACCAGTTTGAGCCGGCAGAAACTGGGAATGTCTACGACTTTGGGATGTGAACCTACGGCGATGTGGTCAGCTGAATGCGCATACGTTTGACTTTCGCCGGTGTAGACCATCAATGCCTGATTTATTCCGCAGACCTAGGAGCTACGTCTCAAAATCACGAGAGCCGTACAATCCATGCATTTGTCGCCGCTTAAAGGTACTGCGCCCATGTTATTGGCATTATTTTTATTACATTAGCAAATTAACCCATGCATAACGACCGCTTATGTCGTATCTTCTTTTCCACCAACGGTATGTGCATTATGCCGCAATATTCCTACAAAGCCTTGATATTTGCGCAACATGACAACCACCGGGTTCTCCGGTGGCGCATTCGGCCACAGTGTTACGACGCAGCGAGCCGACACACCATGTACAGAAATCACGACGAGCGCGGGCCATTCCTCAGAGGACGCCGGCTCGATGCACGTCCGGCAGTGCCTATTACGGGAGAGCCCACCTACCACTCCCTCCGAAGCGTCTGCGCGCGCAAACGTGGGCCGGCGGCCGCCGGCGCCGCCGCCGCCGCGTCTGCGCGTCGGTGGGGCGGGGCGGGTGCGGCGGCGGGGCTGCCGGTGATCGGCGTCCGGTCGACCGAGCCGACCGGTCGCCGCCGGGTCGGCTCGCCAAGTGCGAGCCGGGTCGGCGCGAGTGCCCGGCCCGGCGCAGGGACCTCGACAGGGCTGACGTGCGGCTGGTGACGACCTGACGCCGCTCTCGGCCGAAATCGGCTCGTAGAGGTTGCCAGAGGTGACACAGAGGCACACTGAGAGAGGCCGACCGGCGACAAACCCCGTGGGGAGCAGAGCTATCCACACTATCCCGACGGAATCCCACGCGGAGCTACTCCATCCAGCACGTCAGATGCGGGGTCACTCCTTCAAGGAGAACGACTGCAGAACGTCAGATACTAGGTCACATCTCCAACAAGACAAACGACTTGGCACCCTTGCGCTGTCGTCGTCGCGTGCACAGCATCGCACGTCCGACGGCAAGCAGCTTATCAAAGGTAAAGGGCTCGGTCTCTCTGGCGGGATGCGACGCGGTACGCCTCTGAAGCTCGCAAGCTGCCAAGGTACACACGCACGAGGGCCCCGGACGATCCATGTCGAGAGGGAACCCGGCATTACACAGACCGTCCGACTCCCGCCTGAGCGCCGGGGACGTTAATGGTCCGTCGCTGGCACTATGTACACAAGACGTGCACCACTGCTGATACAAGGAAGCGGTGCGGGCGGGGAAGCTGCGCCGCGGACCGCCCATCATAGCTCAGCGCGAGGCGGAGCCCGCCGTGCTCCAGCGCTGTGCTGTGCTCTGCCGGGTCCCGACGGCCACCCCAGCTCAGAGGGCCACGGACAGGGCCGTGCTCCATGTCGCAGAAACCCCGCCTTCATGACGCGGAAGGTCTCGGGATGATATTACAAGAGAAGAAAACCACCCCCAAACCACTGCATGTGCCGCGCTTTAAGCCAGCTGTGGGCTATGTTGCGTATCACGTGGCAGCTATCATTGGCCATTCCTGCCGACCGGTCAGGTTGGTTCTCCACCGCATTCTATGCCATGAGCGACTGCAGAGGAAAGTATCAAAGTTTTCGTCGTCTCATACTTCTTTTAGTATATATAGTGCATGCTCCGCTGTAGCCTATGCCTACCCACCCAGGGCCTAACCTATGCGCTTTGTTCTTTTTTAGTCGTAAGCTCTTTCGATTTTTGCATATGCTGACCGTTGTTACCGTTCTAGTACAGGCGATATTTCAAGTTGTTAAAATCACGTTAAACCCAATCAAGATTCAGATCCTATTCTGCTTCATCCAGAACGGAGGCCAAAATAACGCACGCCAATCCGCCTGCATCATCAGATAGTCTTAAGCACTGAAAAGAAAGCCTGACTCTAATCATAAGTCGGATTTGAATCATTCTGAGTGAGAATCGATTCAATCCAGTGGAGTTGAATCAAACTCAAGCCTGGTTCCATCTGGTTTCATGACTGAAAGCGTCTAAAACATTGAGCGTGCCAAGGAAATTTAACCGATATTTTCCGGAACGAGACAAAAGTATTAATTGAGAGATACATATTTCCAGCGTAAACAGAATGCGGAACAACGGAAATATTGCGACGTCCACAACGGTTCTTTTTCAATTGACCTCACCCGTAGGGTCACAGCTAGAAACCCAGCCGGAAATGTGTATTTGACAAAAACGCAGCCCAAAAGCCCGCATTTAAGAATACCACTAAAGACATAATGTCACCTAAGCCAATATTTAATTACCGTAAAGTGCAGCGCACAAATGTCTTTAATGTGCCGTTTCGTCTTAAAACTCTGCAGTTGACTAAGAATTTCGCGGCCGCATGGTGGCATACGGATGGTAGCGTCCAGATGTTGGCGTCCGGGTGGTGGCGATGGTGACGTTCAGGCAGGAAGGGCTGTCCAGCGTGAAGTCTGAGCCCAGAAATTCAAGTTATCAAAAAGGTTCGAAGTACATACATTTCAAAATTCAAATTGAAGTCCGCATAATTCTGCAACAGCGGACTGCCTTACGAGCCAATGTTCCCCTAATTATGCCCGCGCAATGAGAGGACACATGATCTGAATAAAAATATGATGTAGATCGGAAGGTGTCGATATCCGGATCATGGTGTCAAGGATTCTTAGGTGTTACCCTACAAGGCATGTGTATTAGGGACAAAACCACTCCAATTTGGCTTTCACTCCCCCCCCCCCTTGTGACATTATCACCCAACCAGTGCCCGTGCACATCAGTGCACATTTCAGAACCACTGACCCAAGCGGCATCCGGACGAACCCTTGACCAAACACGCAAACCACACCTTTTCCAACCTAGCACATCCATCTTTATAATCCAATCTCAATAATTTATACGGTACATTGTTCCATATCCCCGCAAACGTCATGCGTCGCGACGGCAGCACAAGTGTCGCGTGAACACACCTTGCAGGCTGACGAGGGGAAACGATGCGGCATGTGCTGCTAGAGTGGGACTAGACTTAGACGCACTTCCACATGGTTCACAAGGGTACTTCTTGTTAGGAGTACCGACAACGCAAGATGGCTCAAAAGGCTCCATGATATCAATCATCATCACGTAAAGAATATGTGATAAACAGTGCCTGTCACATGCACCTCGAATGCGTCAGCTATATTCCCTGACACTCCAGTTCAACGGGTAATGTTTCCGATCTCTGGGCCGAGCTAGGACTATTCAAGTATGCTACGAGCCAGAGCCATTTCATGGTGCTATCCAGTACGTCAGTGCGTGGCAAGCTTTCATTTGAAGATTGTGTGTAAATTAGCCGTTGCACACAGCACGCACGCTTTTGGATTTCGATCAGTTTCATTGGATTACTAGAACCAGAATCCTTTTAGCCCCCCCCCCCCCCTCCCTCCCCCCCCCCCCCCCCCCTCCTGTACCAGTGCATGGCTTTTGAATTTTTGTTTTATTACGAAAGAGAAGTTATGAAGTTAGTAGAAACTATTTTGACACACTTTCCGTTGCCACACTTAATCCACAAAATGAGACGTTCAAAGGCACCATATGTGAGGGCAGATGAAGAATACCAGGATCATGACCTGGGTCTTTGAAAAAATGGAAACACAACGGAGTAAACGATTTCTTGAGAGCACGCTTGTGCAACGTTTAATTCACGCGCCCACAGCTGTTTAAGGAAAAGAACATTACACCACTAGATCATAAAAATATAACCCAATGTAGCTTTCACGCTCCCGATGACACCGTGCATCTAGAGACGGTGTCAGTTGCGTCTGCAGACGAGGCGCAGACGGTGCGCCGCGGTGTTACTCACGTTGCCGTGTATGTTGGTGCTGACGTAGACGGCCAGTGAGTCCGGCCAGGGCATGGCCATGTACTGCTCCCACCAGCGGTTCACCACGATTGTCACATAGAAGCCGAGCACGAACGACATGGGGATGAAGGTGCTGAAGTTCGCGCAGTACTTCGCCACCTCTTCAAACAGCCTGCGCACGGCGGCCCGCGGTCACACAAGGCAAAACGGTGAGACGCTCCTCAACTGCCGGGGTAATGGCCCCTCAGGCCTATACTGGGGCGGAAGGCAGGGCAACAGACCTGAACCGCACGGAACAGCACGCTAGAGACGAACCAGAGCACCAGAAAGGAGCACCACAGTTGGCTTGGCGAATGAAAGCGCCGCCCACCAGCCCAGAAGGGGCCAGTGTGGCTACCAGTCACATGGTGCGCGGCCAGCACTCGTTGACATGGACATAGGTACGCAATATGCAACATTGGCTGCGACGGAAAACAACCAAACGTGCATTGACTGCTGCCTGGATAAGCCCTTTCTATTTCAAGTCCTATTACGCCAGTCTGTTGACCGTACTACTTTGCGCCTTGCTACAGCACGTACCATGACATTTTCATTGTCTAGCGCGTTAATGTGGCCAATGGTTTTGGACGTCAGCAACGAGCGATGTACCAGCGCGTTCACTGTTCACACCAATGCGCATGAACTTACTGTCTGTGATTCTCATTCATTGCGAATCGGTATGACATATTAAGGGTAAAATATAAAACGATGTAAAGGGTTAGATCTGGCCAGACCAACTTGTAAATGCTTCCCTTCCATCTGAAAAGAAAGACAAAACAAGGTAAGAGATGGGGACGCACCGAACTTCTGACACCACGCCCATTCCCGGAACACTTGTTTTAATGTCAAGGACAATGTTCCACATTTGTACGGGGTTTTGAACTGACACACCCATTTTAAAGAGAGTATATGGTACAGCTCACAGGCCAGCCCGTTTTAAGATTTTAAAACCATCTGGTTTCTGAACATAGCGCCTGCGAACTTGCTCAGACTATTTCGTGCAGACTGTTCCAATGTCACCCAGGCGTGCATGACGCCATAGTAACGTCACACGAACACAACCTCCTCATTGGACATGCAGCGCTCAAGCCCACGAAAATATTATCATGGAGCTATTCGCGATCAGCGCGCGTCAGCAATATTTTTGGCACCAACGGACCTTAATTTGCCCTGGGGTGAGCCGTTTCAGGCAAGTTTCGAACACGAATCCCGTTTTGTGCTATTGGTACAGAAACTTGGGCAGTGGCATACATAAGACTGGAATTGAATAACTTAAGAAAAACGCCATGACCGAGGATGTGAATGCAAGTAACGAATACACAACCACGGACAAACGTGCTACAACACCGCCAACAAGGGGCAAAACACGCGCACTGTGATATTTGGTTTCTGCACACAGCGCACCGATTAGCATGACACCCCTCGACAAGTACTACAAGTGAGTCAGCCCGCCCGCTACGCTGCCAGTTTCGTACGGCCAGTTTGACGACCACTCTCACGTCATACAAACGTTCCATGACGCACTTAAACGACGACGTAGTGAGGAGCATACTTACCAAGTAGTGAAATTGTGTTATCTAGAGCAGTCTTCTGCACTTTAAATCCTACCAAAAGTTATAAGTCAGCTTATTTCATTATACCTGATGCTTGTCCCAATATCTTCAAATGCGGAACACCTTGTAAAGCGCGGCAGCCTCAGCCATGCAAATTATGCCGTAGAAGATGAAAGCAGATCTCACCAAGGTCTTGAGTCCAATTTAAGAAAATGCTCCATGCCAAAAGCTATTGAAACAAGCATCTTATAAGATGACATAAGATCACTTGCCACTTTTGGTATGTTTTTATATGCCGGAAACTGATCTAAATAACACAATTTCATAACGCCATAGTCGCAGCCAGACTGGCCATGTCACAATTGCCACTGTGGTGGACGGGTAGCACCGCAGCTTGCCGAGGCGACTTGTTAACTGATGCGTGTTGCTAAACCCGAATATTGTTACTGCGTGCGTTTTGGCCCTTGCTTGTGCTGTTCTTGTATAGTTTTCCGGGAAATTCTATTTTTCTACTTGCACTCACCTGTTCCATTACGGTACTATTATTAAGTTGGTACATTATTAATTTCCGCCATAACTAGCACCACTGCCCAAACTCCTGTGCCATGTAGCACAAAACGTGATTCGTGTTCGAAGCTTGCACCCAACACATTAAACTGGTTGTAGACCAAGTGTTGTGTATTGATGCCGCGAATCGTGCTGCCGCACGCCAAACACGAATGATTCGGCAATCATTATTTTGGTTGGCCTTGAGCACTTCATGACTTTTCAGATGGTGGTATTCGCGTGCCGTTTCTATGACGTTATGCATGTCTGAGTGGCCTTCAAATAGGCCGCGGCGAAAAAGTCTGCGCAAGTTCGCGTGCGTTAAACTCCCAAACAAAAAGTAGTCATAACAGGGCGTGGCTATGAATTTCATTTCATGATCATCCAACTGGCCATCTCAGTTCAAAACCCCAGACAAATGTGGACCACCCCCTTCAATAATCACTAGACCACACACTCAGCGACCCAAGCGATGCGCTGGCGTTAGCATGCAATGCCTCTTTAGCGGAAGGTCATTCAATGACGCAATTGAAACACATATCGGCTACACTTCCGACGAGTTCTCAAACAAATCACGCACCCTTTCGCGCTTCCACCGAAGAATAACTCACCGACACAACAGCTTCCAAAAGACGCCGAAGCTTTTTATCGACGCAACCTCGGCGTTGTATGTGATTGTCATGGCCGGTTGTCAGACGCCGTGTCTGGAACGAACACAAATTGTCAGTCACATGAAATTCACATTAATCTTCATGAAGGGTCTGGAAAAAAGAAGCAATGTTTCTAAAATCGCTTTTGGAGCGCTCAGCAGAAAACGTTGGCCTCACCAACACCCAAAAAACATGATTTCTTATTTCTCCCCATATTTCGGCAATTTGACTTTGCTTCCTCGAAGCTTAATTAAAAAACAAACTTTAATGTTCCGTATATTCAAAATTACTTTCCTGCGGAGGAATGACTTCCCACTTCAAGCTAATGAAAGTTGCCTTTGGTGAAACGCTTAGAATGGGGCGTAATTCACAGAACAAAAATGCATCTTAGTAAACCTTAGAAAGTGATCACTGCTGACTACCGCTGTTGCTGATCGAGTTATGTAACCACAACGGCCACAATTATGCGACAAATACGCTGGCTACTGTTGTGTGAAAACATGCATTAACTCATATCAGGGCCCGGTGTACTTCTAAAAGCTGTCGCATATTGCAGTGAATTGTTCTATACCACAATCCAGGAGCTATCATTTGAAAACAAAATCTTGTCACACATTTGCATGCTGGCTTCGCATATGAAGGAGCTAGCACGCCACAAACAGTAGGTACTACGGGACACTATTTCGCACAAAATATGCATGATACTAATCGTGGTGTATTTAAGTACCTCCCATCAAGTACACCAGTAGTTAATTGTTTTGTATTTATTTGGCCTAGCATTTCTTCTTTGCTCATATGTATTGATGGGACTCTGCTGGAGGTGGGAGCTGGGGGGGGGGGGGGGGGGGGGCTCAAGTCAACATTGGGGGAGGGCTCAGGCTCCCCGAAAGCACATAGTGATGCCCCACTAGCCGTCCATAATTATAGCATCCCAACTTACCCATGTACCAGGTGAACGGAAATAAAGCGTCATCACAAGTAACTGGTGAGACACTTGCACTACCACACAAGTACAACCAAAACACGTGTGCGTAAAAAACCACGCGATTAGCAAGCATGCACTTCAGCTGTATGCAAACCGATTCCACCACCTCAGGCGACTGAACTATGAGACAACCCTATACAAAACGAGAAGCTGTTTTCACTGCCGGTGCATTTAACGAGGACGGATATGATGAAGGGCAGCCATCGCCGATCACGGTGCCCCGGCAGCCGCGCCGCCGGGACTGTTCCGTTCCAGTCCGGTCGTCCGTGTGCCACCGCCGAACAGACTTGGCAGAAGAGTGGCGCACGTGCCGCGCGGATAAGGCCAATCAGGTGCACTTGTAGATCGATGTCGCCTATTGACCTAACGACCCGATAGGTGGTATCAGAGAACGAATGCAAGTGCCTATGCATGTTGCTGTTTGCCTCAACACTCCCGAGCTCAAAGCCGTATGTAGATGTTCACAGAAATGCTTTAATATTTGCTGAAGACCACCAGTGTTGTGTCGTCGCCTAAACTGCTACAATGTAACCATGGTCTATATTGCATGTGTTTATCCTGAGTCTCTCCATCATCGCATTGCTGTCTCAATCGTCATGGAAAAGCAACTAAGAAACTACTGAAACACGGAACTGCAAGCTTAATGAGCTTAATGAGCCAATAGCAATGCACATAACATAATACTGTTTTATTTGATGCCTAACACCCAGGGGATGTATGTCTTATATATATATATATATATATATATATATATATATATATATATATATATTCACTTTCAGGGGGTGGGCCTGGGCCCCCGCCCCAACGCTGACTTGAGCCCCTCAATTCTCTTCCTAGTCCCATCTCCATGCACATGAGCAGAAAAGGAACACTGGGCTAATAAAATGCAGCAATTGTCAAACAAATGAAATACAGCAACTGTTGGTACACAAAGTATCCAAAAGCATACTATCAATATCCTCACCATCATGCATCACCGTTATCGCTATCACGCCGGTTTCAAATGGGAAATCATTTACCGACATCAAAACCGTTTTGAAATTGACGAAATATTTTTTTACCTTCATTTCTGGCATCAAGAACGTCAACTACAGAGCTTGAAATTCGGGGGCAATCAGTATTTTGGGGGAGGTTAGGTCAACTTTATTGGCCCAGCCCCCCCCCCCCTCCAACCAATTTTAGGAAGTGACACCCCCGCTAACACCGCAACATTAAGCGCAAGCAAATGACTTCGCTTTACTGCTCTCACAAGGACTAAAAATGTTCACTGGAGAAAGTACGACGGCGTCTCGCACCACGGCAGGACCTGCAACTCAGCATATCAACAGCTCCATGCAGGCCGCACCGAACGCTCAACTCCAGATCATCAGCACTCACACGTCAGAGGTGCCGAGAGCGATACAGCGGCGCCACGGCAGTAATGAGCCATCGGCTTCCCCCTCCCCCCCCCCCCCCCCCCCCTACGGCTTGTCAGCACTGACGAGCGCCGTCACCTGACGTCTCTGGCGACATCGGCACAACCCGCTGCGCGTCACTCGCTCTGATGGGCCGGGGAGACAGCGTGCAGAGGCGTGCCACGCAGCTGGCTGATCAAAGAGCGCCACGGCCGCCAGAACTGACGTCCGGACTGGCTGGCCCCACGGTGAGCGGTGTCAGCGTGCCGCTGCGGGATGTGAGCGGCCAACAGATGTTGCGGTGTCAGCAAACAGGACGGAAAAGAGTCTAGACTACACGCGCAGGGAGCCGACCTTCAGCATCACAACCAGCGTCAAACGGATACTATGTCCAGTCTCGATAAGCGTCGCTTCACTCTATACCCCGCGGAGCCTCGTCTCGCCGCAAGATCGCTACGTCTGTCGGCCCTGGCCCGACCTTACGGTCTTGGTCACAAGTCCGCCCAAGCAACCACGCAGCCACCGCTGGGGTTCTCTGCGCCCGTGAGACCCAAAGACGGAGGTAACCACCACTGTCTCAGTATCATCGCACTTCCCTCACTCCCCCCTCCCCCCTCTTTGATATTATATCCCCGAAATGGTCTAAGCCAAAAGAGTTACCTACGTGACCTATCTGAAGGTCTTGCCCAAAGGCCTATCCTACCCAAACCACGCCAAGCCACCGACACGGGCGCAGATAGAATAAAAGGCAGACGTACGGATAAAAGGCCGATGTACGCGATCGGACCGATAACGGCAACTCGTTTGCAGCCCGGATCAACGGTGACAACCCTGCTGTCCTGACCACTCTAACAGATGTCCAAACGCGATAGGAGACAGGTCCGAACGAGTTTCCATCAGTAAAAGGCTCAGGCGTGTTCTGGACGACCCACGGTCCTTGCCGTCTGCAATGGAGTAGAAACTACCATAAAATTTGCAGCATAATGGGTAGCGAGAAGGCCCAATGAGTGAGCTCATTGAATACAACATATCGCGAGGAATGAGCAAAAGCCTCTCTTTTTCAGTCATGATTGAGGAGCATGGTGAATGTACGAGCACCTCGTGACTTTAAATTTACCTTTACGACGTTAGAATAAATCCAAGTGCAATGGATAACCTCGTACCTTCCATGATTAAACAATGCACAATCTCCTTCCTAACAGCCTTCTCCTGGGCTGATAATCATGTCTTGATGAGCCGTGGTCGGTCTCGCTAGAGTGAATGGTCGAAGTCATTCCAGTGGAGCTGGTTTCTGGCTCGCATTTGAAAGACAGCGCTGAGGCGCATGAATGGAACCGTTGCAGGTCAGTTGGTTCCTGGCCTGGAGACAGGGGGCTCGAGGGCAGCTAAATGATGTTCATCAGGGGGCTGCGGATGAGTTTCCCCGTATGGTTTGTAATTAAGACCATTTCCGCTGCGCCCAATCATCAGAGGCACCGATGAGCACAAATAACCAAATGCAGTTGACGCGCCGGCAAAACTCAATAACTAACTCAGAAGCACCGCATGCAATGCCAGACGTCAAGAAGCAGACTTGCAGCAGCGCTTAGTGCCCCATCAAAGAGGGGGGAGGGAGATGGGTCCGAGACCCTCCTAAGCGCCGGAATATTTCAGTGGCGTTTCGTCCGATTCATGCAGCCCTTCTGACGTGGATGGACGTCAAACAGCCCAGGTAGAGCGGCGCCTCCGAGCAAAAGCGAAAGGGCGAACTTGAACCCAGACAGAGAGGTACCCTTAAATGGAATGTTTCACATTCGAAAATATTGAATCAAACATCAGATGTGATGAAACAAGCCCACTTAAAACTATTGGCATGCTTTAATCTAGGCGACTGCCCTAGACAACACACTTTCTATGCCTACTAAATATGTCCCTCGACGCGTCATTGTTTGATTGTGTCATCGTGCCTAGCACAACATTGATTGAGAGCCCAATGACGACCGTTATATCTGAAATTCGCGCTCACTCTATCAGGACGCCATGAATGCCTGGTGACCTTGCAATACTCTCCTCGAAATAGCATCCCCCCATTTTCGCGGGCGTCTAGCTCAGAAACTAGAGGGGTATATGTCTTAAGAAGGGCAGGGCTGTGAACTGCACCGTAAAGTCTTCAGGATGGGTATTTACGCTCAAAAATCCATACAAATGTATGTGGAAGACTCCCTTTATTTCAGATACAAGGCATGCCTCTCTCTCCCTATATATATATATATATATATATATATATATATATATATATATATATATATATATATATATACATGTATGTATGTAAAGCTAAAAATGCCTGTCGATAAAAAGCAGATGTACGTTCCCACCACCCAGTCAATTGACATGATTTGTTTCTGAAGAATGCGGCGATCAACGTCCGCAAAGGCATTGCTTATTTACTGCATCTTCAGTATAAGCCGCCGTAAATGGCCCTGTCAGAAGCCTCCATGCATGCATGCAGCTTCCACATTCGCCGAAACGGAACAGCAAAGGAGGGCCACCCTGTTCACGAATTCAGTGTTGCATGTATGGCGTCATGCGAAGGGTTTGATGTCACGCGACTGTCCCGATAACCTTTACTTCACTTTCTTAACTGAACTTACACTTCTTAACACTTCGATAATCTTTTTCGGCAGAGACACCTATGCGACATTAAACGGAGACAGAACGTCATCATCTCACAATGTACCGGGGAAAGTGCGCTGGGAACACACATACAAGAAACAGACCCCAACTTCCTCCTAGCACAGCATCAGTTGTCGGAACTGGCCGAGCACAGGAGCGGTAAAAGCTAACCCGTCTCTGTTCGTCATCAACTATTCAACATTGGCGAAAACAGAAATAGCAGGTCCACTGCGTGCCGTCTGTTCGTTGTGCAACTTTCCACGAGCAAATGAATGCATGCACATTGGAATTCAGAACGAACAGCATGATATTCGAGGATCACGTACGGAGTTTTGGATGTCGTCTCGCATATTCGAGCAGCATCACAAGATTTCGCTCCCGACCAGTGCAGCCAGCGATTGCCATGCTTACATGGTGTTAAACGATAGCGCGATCTCACGCATTAAGGAGATGTCTAATCATATATGCATCCCACACAACAGGGGCATGGAAGTGGGCAAAAGTTTCAAACATAAAAGACTTGCGCCCGAACATACAACTGCTTTAGCCAGAAGTGGTAAAGCACACATTTGTTGAAGGGAAAGGTACCGCTGAATGTATTGCTGGGGTCCGTGCAGGCATAAACAAAAGTGCATGTGCTCATGATTCAAGTAGTATTCGTCGTTTTCCTACGTCAAGTAGCCCTGTAAAGTCCGGCTTTAGCATGCTTTGGCGGCTTCCAAGACCGACTCCGACACACCAGGCATCGCGTGCCAGCATCGCGGCGCAGCATTTGTAGCAGTGTTGGGGCGTAGTACATAAGACGAATTTTGCGGTTATTCTGTGCGTTCTGGAGCTGAAAAACCGCCCATGGGAGTTCCTGGTAACCATGGTGTTGGAATGAGCATGTTCAGTGTAGTCCCGATCCTGCTGGGCGCCAGTTACATCCCACGAGGATGCTCGCAGCTCGAACCAAGGCAGCGACACCGGTGGGGCGGTTTGAAGGCACATACACTTGTCTCGGAGTCGGACACCCCTGAGAAGAATAAAGCGAGAATTATCTATCCTAACCAGCCAGTGACACCGCTTTTGGCTCGAGCCCGTGGCGGTATCCTCCCACGAGCAGCGAGAGTAAAGGTGTTTTCTACCTCGCTTCTTTCTATGCAACGTCATGGGGTTCATGTCTAATTTTCTCCCTGAAAACGGTGACAGCTGCCCCCGTCCCCTCTCCCTCAATCCTCCACCACTGATACAGACTAACGCGTGGTTATGAGTCGGCAGGCTGACCAATCGTCCCACAGGTGCCTTTCTGCTAGGCAGTGCACGCGAGAAATCGCGCCCCAGACCCGGAGTCCGAAGACTGTGTAAGACAACGGCCACAAAGGCCGTTCAGGTCTTCGGTCGCAGGCCGCAGCCCTAGATGAGTACAGTATAAATGTGATGAGTACTGAATGACACTGTAAAGTACCTGGCGAGCAGCAGCACACAATCGACACACAGTTCAGAATACCGCGCGCGTACCTTGCGACAGTGTCCAGACATCCTGCTTGTGGTAAAACATTCACCTGCAATGCTCTTTGACAGATGACGTTCGATTTTGAGTCGCAGAGATAATGGGCACAGCAATCATTAGGCTGCCGTGATGGCAGATCGCTTAACACGCGCTCGGGGGCGGGGGTCAAATTGCCCCCCCCCCAAAGGTTTTTCCAGAATGGTTTCCGAACGGCGAGGCGCAGCCACGGAAAAATTTGCCTAGCTGTAGACAACTGAATAGCGGATCGTTTGGCATCAGGAGTTTAGATGTACCTTGTAAGGTTACTGACCTATAGCAGGTCAAAGTAAGGCCATGGTTCCAGCGAAGTCAATTTCTAGGAAATCGTTTGATCTGATGCAACAACGGAGTGTTGACGAAGCCATGCATCTCTGAGATGCTTTATTAGACAACACAAATATTGAATGGGCAAATTGATTTGACCTAAGGTCAGGTATAAAAGGTAAGATCAAGGTCAAAATCAACCTGTTTTATTACTCTAGGCTTTGCTGTATGGGACAGTTTCTTGTGCTCATTTCGAATTTATTGATAGCAGGAGCCGCATTATACATCTTCCATGTCTTATTTTTGGTCAGAGCAGGTCACTGACCTGAAGTGATCCAGGTCCACATTTTTTTTTTTTTAGAAACATACTGCCTAGCGCGACCTTTGTCGCTTATTCAAATGCAAAACTCAGAGCAGTTCTGTATGATTTTGGCCGCCATGACCTTCAAAAGGTCAAACAAGGTCACTTACCTTAACTGAGCATGCGACCTTTTGCTTAGGAACAGTTATCTAGGTTCTGGGGGCATTTTAGAGACCAACCTGAAATTTGACCTTGTCTGACCTTATTTGACCCAAAAGTCACGACCTATGAAACTCAAGCTTTGACCTAAGTGACTTCACGTACAGATCAACACGCCCTGTAACTTTCGTGTCTCTAACTCTTTTAGCTCCCGAGATCACAGGAGGTCAAATTGACCTCCCATCCCCCACCCGAGCGACTGGTAGCTAGCCGGCCAACCGGGCGCGTGTTAACACTCGCAGTCGTGTGATGCATGTGTGGGAATGAAGGTACGTACAAGAAGTTGAGGACGTGGAACGGGCGATTTCGTGTGCTTTTTTATCGTGCCACGTTATAGGGATCACGCAATAATTCCCCGAAAGTAGGTGGACGCTACTGGCACTTCACTCTACCCCTGTTTCTAAACTGCAAACGAACACCTGTCGTATGGACTGAAGGGCAGCCAGCAAACAAGCTCCCTTATTCCCGCTATGCAGGTGAATAAACAATAGCACCATTAACCTGGACGCTTATGCACCAGAGACTAGACAGTTGCGCTTTTAATTGTGCTATTACTTCTCATTCCGCCGTCTCCAACGACACGGGGTAGGGGTATGACCTGTGCACTACTAACTCCATTCCAGCTGTTTACTCCAGGTGTTCGAGAACAAAAAAGGGCATGTGGTGGTAGGTTCGTGCGTGATCTAGAGCGCTCGCGTGATGTTTTGCAGCATCTCCTACGGTTTGCCCATAGGCCCGTTGGTCAGGGTCATTTGACGTCGAACCACGTTGCTGCCCTTTCCACGTGGCTTAACACATGTCCGCAGGGCAAAGCTGAACACAGGTGGATGCCTGCCTCTATTTAGTTTCAAAGGACACTACGATGTCATACATGTCATTCCAATGACCTCCCATGGCAGTCAACTTAGATAACCTTACGCTCCAAACTTTCACGTACAACGATGACATTAGTACATTGCGAAGGGCCGTGTGAAAAGGCTGTGGGCAGTGTTAAAAATCTGTCTTGTCATTATCCTGTTCTTGAATTACTCTTCCACGTCACAAGCCAGCTGTTCCTGACATGACTGCTCACAAAGACAGCTTTGTTACGTCGAACCTGTGTGATTTGACCTGGTGTAACACTCGCCCCGAATGGCTCTAACAACGGTTTTGAGCACTGATGGCGTAAATGATACAATAATCTCACAACCTCTGAGTCGTGGACAAGATGTGGTGGCGGTGCAAACAGCGCTGAGAACGAGTTACGGAGCACCAATTTTCCCTTCGTCCGCATAGAACTTCGAACACGATGTCTTGCAAGGCCCCAACCTCACTTGTAAACACATTTGAACGGTTCGACCTGTTGTGTGAATATGCTTGGAACTAGGCTAGCCAAAATTTTATTGCAACAAGGACAAACGGTTCGAGGTATGTGGTCAGGTACCTCCAAAACAAAGCTGCATCCACATCCCGTGCCTGCGAGGTTAACTCAAACTCCGCCAGTATCACCTTTTTGGTGTTACAGCTTCAAATATGTGACAGTAAGTACGCAAAAATGTTTTACGCCAATTCCAAATTTCTTGTGATACAACTATTAACACACTGTTGTGAAACACGTGTAAGTCTCACAACCACGCTGGACACCACACACAAATAAAAGTTGCGGTCCCAAAAACGGGACATTCAACAATGGCCCACGGCTCAAAAACTCACATGTTCGCTGTCACCTCAAGCGACCAGGTCTTCCTGCCCACTGCCCTCTCACCACACCACCCTCGCTCCGCAGCTCTATCAACGCGGTTGTCTGCTGCGGGCCAGAGGCGCGCACCACTCACGAGCGCCGAAACACCAGCACCCCTAACGGGCGAACCGTCTATCCTCGCCGTGCTTTCGGCAAGGTCCAGGCCCCGGTAAATGATCCCTTCAACTGCTTATTTGGCAGCTAAGAGACAAAGTCTTCTGACGTCAGCTAAACAAAAATAACAACTGCAAGATAAAATGTCGGACAGACAAAAAGGCCACACAAAGCAAGAGATTAGCAAACAAGAACTTTTGACATTTGGAAATAAATTTATGGAAAATTTTGTTTGCATTTTGAGATTTTGCCTCGATTTTCCTCAGGCCAGATGAAAGGACAAACACACACGCCATATACGTCTCCCAAACTTCATGCCTATGCCATATACAGGTTGTTTGTGCTATTATCCTACAGGCCTTTTTGTTTTTCCTCCCCGGCCTGCACGTCCTGTTATTTATTCCATTGGACGATGTCTTGGCCGGGGGAGAGGGTCGTAAGTTTTGCAACGTAGAATGGGGTCGCTGGGCAGGAAAGTGCGGAATACTGTATTCAAAATACAAGGAATCACTGAATTTAACCCACGTTTTTCTGAAAGTTGGGGTAGCTGGAGCCTCCCCGTCCCACAACCGAATAGAGAACTACACTAGTTCATCTTAACACGATGCGATGTTCCATTTTAAGGCACCACGAGAATGGATAATCGTTCTCCGGCTCTTGTGCAACTATCTGCAGAACATTAATATACATGCATGGAAACTTTTTTGATGAGTGCATGCGTTGCCAAAATCAAAATATCCTTGATAAACATTGTCGAGCTTTAACGCACGCCTCAGCGAAGGGAACTTCATTCCGTTAACGTCAGAGCTGCCATATTCCTTGACGTGGATGAAGGCCGCTGTGGTGCGAAAACGTCATCAGCCGGGTGGGAGCCAAGTGGTGGGCTGGTGAGTCTGTGTGAGTGGGATGGATGTTTAGGATTGGGACATTAAAAATAGAATTGGGCTTCGGAGCTGCTTGCAACTGTTGAAAAAGGTGTGACATTTTCCGGTGCATGGGCACCTTTGAAATGACGTGGCTACGGCCTAAACTGTCATTGCGTGAGGCGCAATTTGCATTGTTGGGCCATGCCCGGTGTGGCTCTTCCGGGTGGTTATCTAACTGTAAACATGATCATGTATTTTCCATCTTTGTTTTCTTTCTCTTTTCATTTGTGAATTCAATCGAGTTGCGGGAAATTGGGTGCTTCTTTGGCAGGAGCTTGGTCAATTGGTGTTCCCCATTGCCATATGGACCGGGTCTGCAAATTAAAACTCCTGCAAATATATGATGATTTGAAATCATGATTAGATTTACATTGTAACATAGCTAAATTTGTGTGATGCTGCCTTCATGTTATGATTCCACTCCTCTATCTAGGAGCTGAAGCTATGAATGTGCAAATTATCATAAAGATAATGCACTAGTCCAGATATTTTGTTTTATTATCTTGAGTGCCTTGCATAAGGATTTTGGATTCAGAGCATGCTAGGCTGAGCTTTTTGCATTCATCTTGAACCTGCCACTTGTACCTGCTCTTCATGGTAGGCTGAGAGAGAGGCAATGCCAAATAGCCCCAGTAGCTGAATGCATCATAAAGCCTCAATAATACACAATGTTATATGAACCCACCTCTCAAAATGTCCTGATACAGCATACCAAATAATTTTTCTAAAGACCTGATCAAAGAAAGCTTTTACACAACAAGGTGTATGAAATGGCTGCCCCAGACCAGGTCAAACATCTGTTCAGGTACCAGCTAGGAAACATGGCTTTGTCTCTAAGGACATGCCCAGAGCATCTGGATTATAAACTGTGCAGCTTTTCTTTAGACCAGTGGAATTGCAAATGCTTGGCAGGATGCACCTCTCACCCTGCAACCCTGGTCTTTTTACCAGATTTGGATGGAAAACACAGGCCAAAAAGGTTAATGTGCTGGTGATCTACCAACACCTTGGTGATTCAGATTCTTTTAAGAAATCTAATGATCTGGTATATATGAACTAGATATCAATTGACACAATGTAGGCAGGGCACAGCTCCTGGCTCCTACCATGAATCTTCAGCATCATTCCTTGCCTTCCAGTTGGAATTCTCTGGCTGCTGGCATCCTTGGCAGATGATCCACTGTTGGCTGTGCTAGGTGGTATTGTTTGTATACTATCAGATCTCATCTGAGATGCAGCAAGTTGCCAGAAGCCCAACTGAATTGCACGATCTATGGATTAACGCTTTTTGCTGATGTTCTGATGCTGCCACTCACTCCCATATATTCCACACCATTCTGGATGAGTAGATGCTAGCAAAATTTTATCTAAAGAAACATCAAATGTTTACCTGTTGCTGTCAAAAAAATATAAGCTTTCACTGTGTTTCCTAGTATGTGTGATATGTTTTGGTTCACCTGACATATTTTTGACATACATTTTGTTTCACTTTTACATATTACAAATAAAGTAAACAGTACAGCCCAATTAATTCAACTTTAGTGCCAGATATATGTAAATACTAACTTTTGGGCATTGGGTAATTTGTTCATTTTCTTGTTAAAGAGTCAATCTTTATAATTGTGTTATTTTTTAATTTTTTGTTACCTAGGCACTAGTCATAAGCAACTAATCTCCATCTGCCCTCTAACTGAGTGCACCCATTGCAGGAACCATGGGGCCCAGCTTAGCAGTGTTTATGCTGGTGCTGCATGCGGCAAGAGCTGAGTACCGGCAGCCACCTGGGGTCAACCCAGCACACTATCAGGCTCAGGGGCAGGTGCCACAGCAACAGTTCCAGCAGCCACCACAACAGCAATTCCAGCAGCCACCACAGCAGCAATTCCAGCAGCCACCACAGCAGCAGTTCCAGCAGCCACCACCACAGCAGGGTGTTCCACAGCAGCAGTTCCAGCAGGTGCCCCAGCAGCAGGCAGTGCCACAGCAGCAGTTTCAGCAAGCTCCTCAGCAGGGGCAGCCTGTGCAGCAGGGCATTCCGCAACAGCAGTTCCAAAGGACGGTTAGTGTGAATTCTTCATACATGAGTGGCATTTAAGATGTTGTGTTGGTTGTGCTTTTGCAGTCATCCTGTGACACATTGTGATGCATATCATTGTGTGGTTGCCAAGTGATCTCCCATTTGTACTTTGTAAAAATCAATTTGGTTTGTATACTCTTAGTTGCTAGTAGTACTTGATAGTGTTACCATTTCATTGTTTGCTATTGACATTTCCAGCTTGTGATATGTGGTACTAATTATGAGTTATATCACCGGCAGGGTGGGCACGGTGGCCAGCAGCAGGCCATACTGAGAGACAAACAAAAGATCCAGGCTGAAAAAGAGTAAGTGTTGCATTCAGTGGTAGTTTTTATAGCCCTGGATAGGATTAATTATGGTTGTGGGATGTGTTTTGGGGTTCCAAACTTATGAGAGGTTTCACCAGTGTCCAGGCCTAGGACACCTAAAATCTAGAGTCCCAAAGCGTGAAGCAAGTGTGTGGATAAGCCAAGATATTAGATGGCTCAGTATGAATGATTGAGCAGAGGTAAAGTATTGTTTTGTTTTATGAGGTGCTGAAAGTGTTTATTAATTATCTAAGAGTGCGGTCATGGAGTTTGGTTGTAAGCACAGTGGCAACGCATGTATGAACCTCGTTGTTTTTCATTTTGATGAATGGAGTAAGTTGTGTAGATATTTTGATGCGACAAGCAGTATCAAGTGCTCTCAAATGGCTCTATCTCAGTTGCAGCTGCGTGCTTCTCTGTTTCAGTATTAGCTGGAAAGTTGAGAGCCAACAGTTGTTTGCCTTGCTTTGTGCCATAAAATGACAGGTCTGCCATCTTTTTTGCCAAAGATGGGGAGTTGCTGCCTTTTCACAAACTAAGATGGCATATCTGCTTTGTGTTCATCTCCTCAGCTCATGAGGCATGTGTATCAAATAAGCAAAGAAATTGTATTTCGTTTTGAACGCAAGCATTGATATACCTGGATGTTCGCCATGGTGTCATTCATTCATTGATGTACGTATTTTCCGTCGCCTGCAATTTGTTATTTGCTTCTTTGCAGGGTGCAACATGTCTAGTTCTTGAGAACTGAGTAGGTTATATCATCTCTGCCAGCTGCATCGAATGCTATGCCAGAGTGCCGCTTGCCTAGTCCTTGAGAACCGAGCGCGTTTATACACCAACCAGATGTATTGCCAGTCAGCTAACTCGGCGGATCGGACCGTTTTAGTGTCTTCGCCCCATAACACAGTGGACGGCGGCCGATTGTACGCGCGCTGCTCCCCACAGCCAATCTCCGACCCGTCACCGTCTCCGCCTATTTCAGACACATCAAGGAGCATCTGGGCGCGCCGATCGACACCGCCGGCATGTCCGAGGAGGAGCTGCAGTTCCACTACTTCAAGATGCACGACGCCGATGGCAACAACAAGCTGGACGGCCTGGAGCTGGTGGCTTCGCTTCAGCACTGGCACGGTACGTCCGCCCGGGAGGCTGCCGGCCAGCGTGAGTTCGGTTTGTCGGTTGGCACCGGTGCGTCGGGGCATCTCTCAGCGGAGCTTGTGTGGTCTGACCGGAGGTGATGGCTGTCCGTTGAAGCGGTGGTTGGTACGGGTCGGTTCTGATACTTGTCGCGAGTTTTGCTGCGGCATTTGGAGGGCGTCCCGTCTGAGTTCTGAGTGTGTGGGAGGGGCGTGACGTGCCGCCGACGCCCGGGACGCGTGCGTCGGCCGCCCGCTAACCGTGCGCCACGTCTGCCGCCGCACAGACCAGGCTGGCCACGAGCCCGGCCATCCCGTGCCCGAGGCCAAGACGTTCACCGACCAGGAGTTATTCGAACTGATCGACCCCATCATCGACCAGGACGACCGCAACCGCGACGGTTACATCGACTACTCCGAGTTTATGCTGGCCCAGCAGAACGCACCGCCGCCGCCGCAGGGCCAGGCGCAGGCGCAAGCGCAGCCGCAGCACCAGGCGTAGTCCCGCCCGCTGATTGGGGACCAGCTTGGCCGGTCAGCGCACCAGGGGCGGGGCCCACATTTTGCGGCGCTGTCGTCCGTCTGCCGCCCGGTCGGTTGCCATGGTTACCGGTGATCTGATGGGACCGAAAGAAAATCGGCGATGTCGTTCACATCGCGTTGTCATTCCTGCGACAGGGGTGTCCGTTGATATGCTGAGAGCATTTACATTGACAGTTGACGTACATGTGCACACAGCTGTGTCAGTGTGTGGAGGTCAGACAGGAGGTACAGGAGCATACGCCTACTTGCGTAATGTTTCCCTTAAATGCCTCATGGTAGGCGTTTTCTATCAACCATTGGGCCCAAGCGGGTTACAGATATTCTAAAGTGTGTTCAGATCCAGATCTTTTTATCGTCATGTTGCGCTGCTGTTGGTACCATGAATGGCTTACGTCTGCCATGGATAGGCATCCATGGATCCTACAGGCAGTTAAAAGTCGGCAAAAAGTTGTGGGAAAGTTGTGGTTGGAAAAAAGTTGGATAGGCATCCATGGATCCTACAGGCAGTTAAAAGTCGGCAAAAAGTTGTGGGAAAGTTGTGGTTGGAAACAAGTTGGAAAGTTGTGTTGGCGCCTCATGGTATTTCCGTAGTCCAAATCGCGTTCATGTTCTATGTTTCCTTTTACACGAGAGCACCGTGCTGTGATGGTACTGCGTCCTGCAATGCTCTTTTTGAAAGTAATGTTGAATGAGCAGTGATCCTTGAGCTCAAAGTCTCCACTAGGTGCGAATGCGCAGAACATTGCGGATGTACAAAAGCGACGCACTAATCTGCAGGAGACGATCGCTTCCGCTGTAGCCATGTGTACCTGACGGGGATGATCGTGGAAGGTTTGGGTTGCATTTCCAATATGTATGGCGGCCTGGGCCATTCTCCCTTTCTTCCCCCAGGGGTTGTTCGGGTTTCCAACGGTCGAACTGTTTCAGGGTACATACGGCCAACTTGTCTTGAAATTTTTGATGAGATTAGTCAGATGTTGCAAACTTAACAACATCGTGACCTTTAATAGCCTTATTTGGGAGATGTATCCAGAGTCGATATCAACGTGCTACATGTGTTGGAGACTATTGGAACTGCCCTCTAGTGCAAGGTGACCGAGTTGGGGTGCACCATGAAATGTCAGTTATGGACGTGGTGAAAGGATGAAGGCGCGCGCGTGATGGATCGTGCGATATTTCCAGTGGTCCCGCAAGCGCTTCTTAAAGCTGTTATATGAGGTGTCCCCGTCGCGAGATTTTTGGGAGGGCCTTTTGCGCAGCTCGCTGCCAGGGTGAATGCCATTGTTTTGTTAAGATATTTGTAAAAGTATGGGTGCTTCCATGATGTGTTGGCGACTGCTGTCCTGCAAATGTCTTCTTACGTGAAGACTCGTGATGGCTCGTGTGCTCGCGGTCATGAAGTCTCGCCAATACATGGTCATTTTTGGAGGTGCGCCATTGTAAACCGCCCCTGCCATGATTTCAGCAGTCGTGTCGACAGCCACCAACGTCACTCTCTCGTCCGCTTACGGTCCTTTCCATTCCACCTGGCCGTGGGCAGATGCGTGCCTGAATCTCAAAGGTGGATCCAGGATCCCATAGGCCCCATGCTTGTGTTGGCCTGGGATCTTCCGGGCGTCTCCAGGCACATATCTGATCGCGGGCGCTATGATCACCGTTCGGAATGAACATGTAGGTCGGCATTCCGCGTGCCGCCTGGCGTCTCACCAACTCGGCATCCCCGTGCAAGCGTGCGAAACGCGGCCGGGCGCCACTGGATTTTCGTGGCGTTGCCTTTTCGTTTCGGTGATGCACAGTGGAGACGGGAATTCTTCCCGCAGAAACGTCAGCCGTACCCAGGATGCTGATCTGCAGGTTTGTACTCCAGCGCGTTACTGGCTTGACAATTACTTTTGCGACGTGTTGCTTTGCATCGTCTCGAGCTCCTACGCATGTACGTTTGGCTTTCTACGAGGTTCTGCTAGTTGTACATATGGTTTCACTGCGTTTTGTGAACTGGAGTTTCGGAACGATTTCACACTACCGTCACCTGCAGAATACGGTGGCACGCGGACACCAACGCCAGCCATGTTTCATACCGTCTAACCGCCTGCGGGGAATCAGTCGATCCACGAGTGCTATCCGTCCCCTAGCTTCAGCAGCTCAACTGAACCACGGTTGCTCGGAGGCTTAACCGGCCGTGCCGTCCCCGCCTCCGCATGTGGCCGTTAAGGTCTGCACCCGTCCCGCACGTGGCAGCGCACCACTAACTGAGACGGCGCGGGCGACAGACGAGGACCATTCGGACGGCGAGCACGCAGCCCGGCCGCCGCCGCCTGCCTACCCCGAGTGGAAGGTGGTGGAGATGGTGGACCTGACGCTGCTGGATTCCGACGCCGACCGGGACGGCTACGTCAGCTGGGCCGAGTTCCTCACCACCAGCTCCAGGATGTAGCGTGCCTCGCCGGCGTTTGGCGGACGGAGCCGTGGCAAACCAAGCACTTATCGTGTGTGTCTGGATCGATTAGGAAATTTCGTGGACTTGTGTATTGTCGCTACGGGTGAAATTTCTTATTCCGTTGGGGGAGAGGGTCCAGCCCCCCTCCCTTTGAGAGTGGGCCAGACCCAGAGAGAACCTCGCTTGTTGGCTATGTTGAGATCAGGATGCATCTTGTTCATGTTTTTCACTGTTCATCACCCAAAAGAAATTCATTTTAGGGAACCACGCCCCTGGCTGTCGCACTATGCTTACGATCTGAGATTGTTCTAGTTGGCTGGGAATTAGCTTAGTGCATGGTGTCTTACGAGCATGATCGTGTCGAGGATATGGTAGGTTTTTTTCGGTCGGGTGTTCCTCGGAGCCGGGAATTTGTTTTCGCTAAGCTTACGCCTGTCATGAGGCAAGTAGTCATGGTACGTACATACCAACGACGTGACTTATTAATGATAATGATATCATCCACCTCGTGAACTTAATTTTGTCTCGTTGGCACGACTTCCAGCAAATAAAACAGGAAAATTATCTGTACCTCCATCTGTCCATGGAATGTGTACTCATATGTATAAACACATACACTTCAACACAAAGGCAACATTAAACTGACTGGGTACTGGTTGCCTATCCTACAAAGTTCGTCCCATCATCCACTCCACGGCGTACATGTTCCTGCTTCGCACTGCCAACAAAAATTTATACAGCACATGTCCTGCACACGCTGCCTGTCGCGCGTACATGGATGCACAGTGGGCATGTTAATCACATGCAAACTGAAAAAGCAATGAGATTTCACCTGCTGACGAGAGAAGCACGGAATACGGACGAACCCACGAATGAAATACACATATTGCAGTCACAGGTCATAGAAAGGTCAGAATCTGAAGGAGAGATTTCCAGTTGCGGCGGAGATGGCGCGATGTGCGTCAGAGCGCGCTGTACAACATCTACACATCCTCTGTCGACCCGTGGCAGGCACGGCTCAGCTGGCCGGCCGGTCACCTACTCGGGCTTGAAGTGCCCCCACTCGCGGTTCATCAGCAGCAGAATGTTCTTCTTCAGGTCGGGCCCGATGAGCGGGTTCATCTGCGCCATGTAGCAGTAGAGCCAGAACATCCAGCAGACGACCGCCGTCAGTATCAGGCAGCTCTGGGTCACGCCCCGGTTCGGCCCCTTGCGCACGAACAAGGGCAGCACGCCGCCGACCGCCACCCAGAACAGCGTCACCACCACCAGAGGGACTGCAGACGCACCCATGACGGCGGAGGTCACCTGAGGATAGTGGAACACAGCGTCATGGCAACCAATAGGGCCACAATCTCCGGGGGTACCGCAGACGCGCGCCAAGGTGAGGCTGTTGGTGGGCAACAGAACGCAAGGCCCCAGACAGCATCATAATGACAACCTGGGAGAACCAGGCACTCTACACAAATGTGAATCCTTGTCCCCTCATGACAGGCCTAGAATACCTGAGATGCTCAAGACTACAATAACAAAAATAATGCAGGTATGTCTGCTTTATTGACTGGGGCAGTTCCAGTGCTTATCCACTGTGCTCAATCAGCTTTTATATATATATATATATATATATATATATATATCATATATAGTGTTTATATATCATATTATATAATATATATATATATCCAGTAAATTTCATGATTTATTTCATGGTGTCCACAGTGATACCTGCATCCACCCAACTAAGCACAGCTTATGGTCAACCTTCCTTCATATCTGTGTCATTGACCACAACTTATTAGCAAAAGATCAGGTTTTGAAACATGGGTCTTGGTCAAACAGGGATGGGAACTCAAGGGTGAAATTGATGGAACTGTTCTAACTACATTTAAAATTGAAACCATCAATAGGCCTTAAGGCCAGACAAATGTCTGTATCCCAAGAGTGGATCAAGGATCCCATAGTCTCATGTTAATGGGATCCAGCAATGTTTTTTGGGCTCTAAGCACAAGTCTCATTGAATCCATACAGACAGAGAGTGAGAGCCCTTGGTAAAATACAGGCACATCTTTCTTTTGATGTAAAAGTGTATGTTCTGGGACATCAATCAGTCCCTATGGCATAATACAAAATTGGTCAATCTCTGCACAAACAGGCCAGCATAATAAGTATCAGAAGTGGTGTCACACACTTGTGCATGCTTTTACTGGGTCACCTCAGACTTTCAGAGACAGAGGTCCTGGTTTGCTAACTAACTGCCTGCTGCAAAAACATTCAATTGCAGGAAGCATGACAGCCTCCTTCCCTTCAATGAGTGCTGTGAAATGTAACAAGCATAACTGAAAGCTTATCTTATACAATTGGAGGTCTTCTGAAGGAAGGTTAAGACCAAGATTTCAGAGAACAGGGGGCCACAATAAATGCACTGAATACTGACATACTTGTCTAAATTGCCATCTTAGTTAGCTATCAAAATAAGATAATTTCAGTCCTATTATGTCTTCAAATAAACCCTCATAGGCCAATGTAGAGGTTCTACCAGAATTAAAACAAAATAACAACAAAGAATTGTATTTTAACAATATAGGAAATACATGTTTTAACATGCGCCCTACAGCAGACATTTCTATTCTACCCTAGTCGAGCTGGGCAGATCCAGCATGCAGTCTTGGAGAGACAACAATACTTCACCGCCATCCATGCAGCCAAGTTCAAACTGTGGAAACACTGGTCACATTTTCTTCAGACCAGCACCAGCATGTAGTAAAAGTATGTAGTTGTATTACCTGTTCTGAAGCTGGTGACATAAGGTCACTGTCTTCACCTTCAAAAACTAGATAATCCACTTTAGCACATTGCAGCCAAGCCCAAAGTTGGAAACTGCTCAACCAATCTGCTTGGAACCTTTATCAGAAGACAAAGAAGATATGATTTTATTTGGTTAAAGGGTTTGCAAGTTGGGACTTGGCTGTAATGTCCTAGTGCTTTGTGCAGTTTTTGAAGGTCAAGATAATGACCTAAGGGCACCAGTTTCCAAACAGCTGATGAAACTGCATTCTAGCATGTGATTGGTCCTGGTTTAAAGAAAATCTAACTGGTGGTTCCATAGTTTGAACTTGGCCGCATGGATTATGCTGAAGTAGTGTTGGCCATCTTGGGGACCAACACAAACTTATTGTGCCACTCAACTGTGGCAAATCTAGCAAAATGGCTTCACAGTACATATATATATATATATATATATATATATATATATATATATATATATACATATATAGTTCTAAAATATTTTGCTTTGCACAGCCCAGGGTATTTTGCCACCTTAGATGCAAGGGGCAGAATACAAAATGCAAGTTTTGGGATAAAAATTCCTCAACTGGGAAGCTAGATAACATTATTTGTAGGCAGCTCATGGTGCTTTGGGGAAGTCCTGCTGTAATGCTGTGGTGCATGCAAGACAAAGAAGCCTATATCTTCCTGTCTGGATAACCTGAGGATGATTGCATAACCCCCTGTAGCAAGACATCCATCAATTTAATTAGAGTGCTTAGATCAAAAACACTAAGCCAATACCAAGCATTATGCTCGCACCAACTTTTATTGCTTGCTCTGAATGGGTGAACCAAGTACAAACAATGCCACACTAGACACACCAGTGTCAGCATGGTGTCTCTGGACCCATGACATTTTACTTTGTGCTAAAAGATTGTGATGCATTTATAGAAGCTATAAATTTGTTAACAGAAAGATACAATACCAAAAAATGGATGATAAATTCAGTGTAATTATGGCCCATTTTGAGAAGAATCAACTGTCAGTGCCAATAAGCAGAGATAAGATTTAGAGAGTGCTCCTTGTTGTAAAATTATTGACCTGCACCATTTCAGTCATGAATGGACCTACCCACTTATCTTGACTGGTCTGCAACCTTTTGCTGGCTGGCACTCACATGCATCATACTGAGATCATGCCACATTGCACTGAATCTCCAAAGTATTCTTTTGAAAGAATGTGCTTCTAACCATTAAGACTTGGGGAGTATTCGCGCATGACTTATTTTAAAACATGACTACTTTGAACCCTTGGCTTTTTACAGATGGAAATGGTGGTGACCCAGTAATTAACTTGTAAGTGGTTTCATTTTCAGCGTGCATGTACTTAAATTGTTAATGAGATGATGATGTTGAACTTTTCATACGACAGCCAGTCTCCAGCCCGCTCCAAAGTCAAATGGATGTAGGAAACTGGTTTGTAAGCCCCCATCCTGGTAGCGGCCATAACGCCGTGAAAGTCAAGACACGGCTAGTTCAGAAACTTCTCACATACCTCAATATCAGCACAAGTAGCAAAGAAACACAAACAACACGGCACAACTCACTTACTAGAAACCCGTCAACCTAGTCCCCTTCCGCGACAATACGTTCCCAGTGGATGATCACGGTCATGTGATGTACTGAGACATAGTGATGGAAGCCATTGGGTGTGTTTACTGTGTTCGTAGCAGATCGGAATATATATGGTGGATAAAATGTTTTGAAGAAATATCTGTATAGGTAAAAACTATTTATGTCTTACATTACCTCCATTGATTTGATTTTTTCAGTTCAAATAGGTCTCTGAGATTAAGCCTACCAATATTTCATGAAGAGTACCTGTACAGAACGCATTTCAATGAGCTTGCACCTACCCTAGGGCACAGTTCAGTCAATTAGGCAAAATCCGCAAAGAACGTTGGGTTGCAACATGTCTTTCGCTGTCAACTCAACAGGGAATCGAAACTGCCCGAAAACGAAGGATCGCATGGGCTCTATATAAGGTGTTTATATACGGGCAGAGAAGCGATGCAACGAATCCAACACGGGGATCGAAGTGTTCTGCTAAGATATAGTGCACTGAGAGTCAGCAAATTGTAGAGAAAACCAATTTTTCAGGTGTATCACCGCGGTCGTCCTGTTGAATGTTTTAACTAAGGGCGAGAGACATACCACCCACAATACTCCCACATCCATAGGAATGCATCAGTTTCGGCGTAAGTACAACAACTGATATAATTTAGAGCACGTTCAGTACATGTGACGAAACTAGCGTTGATGCAAGTTGTGTTACGCAAGGCGGCCGACGGTTGGTACGAAAGACCAGAGAAGCACTGCCAAAGCGACAGCTGTTTGCAAGATAGCCTGACCTCTTTGCATAAAAATCGACGTCAGCAGTCTCTGGATGCTCAACAAATTTATATTTGAGGTGACAAAGAAACACGCTACCAAAATCTGGGCACTAGCACTGCACTGTCAAAAAATGGTGTCAAGATGGGCACTAGCACTGCACTGAACCATCTCAAGCTGTCCCTGCAGCATTTGGCATGTAATCGGCAGTTTTTCACGTGGTATCAGCAGCATGCCTTCAATGGCGACCTTGCCTACATTCTGCCGTCGAACTCACCCTCACGCCATTAATTCTCTAAATCATGACCACGTCCGGCTACACCCACTCCACCATCTGGGACTGAACGGCGGAGATAACGAACACATCAACTGCGTTTCAGAGAATTGTATTTTGCAGGCTGGCAAGACAACTTCTACATACGAGCCAATATATGCCATATTCGAGAAGGTACATCCATGGATCCCCTAAATCGGGAAACACACACGCGCAGCTGCGGCCCCGGGACAAGTCGGGCGCAATCCCCGGCCACTTCCGGCGCCGCACTCAGACGCCACGACACCAACAGTTGAGTATTTCATCGTTTCGCGCCAGCAACAACGCAGTGGGCCCGCCGGCCCGGACAGACGATCCGGCCAAAACAGAGAACAAGGCGCGTGGCCAGCTTGCGGCCCGACCACGGAAAGCACGGTGCGGCTCGGCTGGCGGGGCCCGCTCTGCCAGAACAGGTACCACACGCCGTCTAGCGGTCGCTGGCTAGCGGAGCCCACTCTGCCAGAACTGATACCACGCGCCGTCTGGTGGCCGCTAAGACAGACGTTGGAGCAGTAGGAGACAGGTCAGCGAGCGACAAAATGAACAGCTGGTCATGCAAGGAATGAAACGCAGGGATGATGATAGGACAACCAAGAGGAGGGAGGCAACGTCCGGAACCAATACGATCGTCAGATCTCTATTATCGCGGGCGGAGTACAAACCCCAATCAAATGTACTGTCAGGCATTTCCGGAAAGAAGCAGTGCGTCACAACAGGTGCGCAAACATCGCGAGCCACCCTGCGCCGCCCACGCAACAAATCAATCCTCTTGCCCCACCTGGAACACCTCACAAGTCAGTCGTTGTTGCAGCGTGACCCTCCTCACCCGAGGAACACAAACAACAGCCTGCGGGCACCACCGGCTCCACGCGCCGGCTCGCCACCGGCCGCCGCCGCCGCCGCATCCGACGCGCTCATTTAGAGTGAGCAGCTGGAATGGCGTCTCGGCGGCCGGCGCGGGGCCGGGTCCAGCCCAGCTCCGGCCCGACCGCGGAGACATCCAGACACGCGTCGGCAGCACGCACGACGACCCCCCTAGCGGCACTCCGCACCACTCCCGGCCCAGCGGCCAACAACGCGGCGCCGCCGCCGTTCGCAGTCCATCCCCAGCGGCGGTGAAGCAGGTCACGTTTTCCGACGTAAAATTATGATTATCGCAAACGTTGCCGTACCTAGCCGGAGGTAGTTCAACCAATCACCCACTCAGACTGCCGGATAAAACGCGCGCGCGCAGGCCAGTCTCACACGGTGTGCCAACAGGGCACCGGGCGGGGCGGGCCGCGTCGGACCCGATCCGGCCCGCACACGGCCCCGGCACGCATGCCCGATCGCTAAATACGCCTCGCGTATGCACAGAAAACAGCTACCTACGCTCTCTCGATGTTGCATATATACACATATACGCTGTGGACAGTTGCTCGAATAACGGACGAGCGACAAATTACCTACGATTACCTGCGTCCGCCGCGCGAGCGGCGCTAGCACGCTGCCATCACCGGCGTTTGAGTTCGTCGGCTCACTGCCGGCTATCCGCCGCGGCCGGTGCCGGGCGGCGCACGTCCGCGGCCGGCGCAGTATCACAAGGCGTGCGCGCGGCCGGCCTGCCGTCCCAGCAGTTACAAGATGGCGCACGACACCGAGCAGCACCGGCTGCTGCCCGCTTTACTCTTCTGGCGCGGGTCTGCAAGCGAGACGAACGGCGTGAGAAGCAGGTCACCAAAGCCAGTGACGCGAAGGTGGGCGCGGTATGGCGCGCCACCAGGCTGTGAGGGACAGGGGCTGTTCAGCCTCGCTGGGAGCTGCTGATTGATCCGCACATGTGACAGCCTGCTTCATCCATGTACATCAATATGACGGAAGAAAAGCATTGGCACAGCTCGTTAGGGCATTGGTTCACAGCTGAGATTAGAGCAATTTCCGCTGCTGTGGCAGAACAGATGCACTTAATGGCTAACAATAGCCTCAATAGGTCGTGTGTAATGATTCACAATTCTTTCTGAGCCGTATTGATCGTTGCTACGCCTGGAACTCATGAGATTCAGCATCAGGCAGTGCGGGAAGCATAGCGCGAGCTGCAGAACAATACCTCCGCAGCCACGCTGTAACGGTACGGGTGACAAATGAAAAAAAAATGTGGGAGAGAGCATTATCGCTCACCCTAGAGTGAGGACACAGTGATTAATTCATCTTCACAAAGAACAAACCACATCAACAGCAATATAAATGGCAAATGGACTACAGTTTAATCGTTTTTGGGCTAGTGAACTTCTCATGTCATACTGCACGACGGAGAAAAGATCCACAGATGACCTTGAACACACAGCATCTGGACTGCTTTCCAGAGCTTTTACTCATTTCCAAAACTATCTATTCATTCCATGTGTCTGTTGTTCCCATGTGTACACCTTTGCTCCAGCGGAGTAGCACGTCAACAAGCGAGGGTTCGCAAAATCAGCATCACTGGCGCCGGGCCATACCTTGTGAGTTGGGCTCCGGCAGCGTCTCGCGCGGCACCAGGTGCATGACGGTGGTCTTGCCGAGCGGCAGACCCAGCGCGCCCAGCGTCACGTTGTTGTGCAAAAATCGGCCCTGGTAGATTAGCCGCAGCACCTCCGCCTTCGCCACGGCCTCCTCACTCCAGTCTGTGGACATTGGGACACAGGCTGATATCAAAGGCCTCCTCACTCCAGACTAGGGGCATCAGGACAAAGGCTCCTAACCAGGGTCTCCTGACATCAGTCTGGGCACATTGCGACATTACAATAAGAAAACCCCACTCTAGAATGGGGGTCAGGCCCGAAGATCCGCCATGGCAGTGTGGGCACAACACCAATCTCTTTTAGAGATGTCTTGAAGAAGGAACTCTTTTAAAAGAAGCCTTTTGGAGAACTTTTTTGGTGGCATGTCTTGCAAGAATAACATGACAACCAAGTCATGTGATAGGCATAGCCTGTAGCAAGGACCCCGCAACCACCACTCCTGTATTGCAAAACGCATTCAGTGTGTTTATTTGCTTTTGACTTCAAGCTAAATCGCATCAGGCTTACAGTACATAATCATCTGCAGACATGTGGGCTGATGAAATCTATAAGCATGTCTGGCGATGCATGTTTTAAATAAAACATTTGTGTTACTCGTCGCCCAAAAGAAAACAAAACGTTGATAATGGTACAATTCAGAATAGTCACATATGACAGTGTCATTCATTTGGGATGATATTTTATGGTCTTTACTTGTCAGGTCACTTGCTGAAAACAGCTGTAGTGCTTCCAGCAATTTCTAAACGTGTTTTTGTAGCACTAAACCAACTTCCTTTTTTACCACCAAACATTCCAGTCTGAATCACATGATGCTAAGAAATCAATCCTAGCCGCAAACACCTATTCTGCCGACACTACATGCCAGTCCACAGTGTGCGGCGCTAGTGGTCAGGTGTCCGCCCCTCCAACAACGGAGCTCCCGGAACGGCCACCCGTCCATGCAGGCGTGACCGTGCAATGTGACTGTGGTGAACATGCAATGAAGGATCAGCACAAAATAAAATACCTAAATTGAAGAACCTACCCAAGAAAAGGAAAGTTCACCTCATACATGACTTGTGGTCCTACTCCTGCTTACCATAAAGCTTCAGCTCAGGTTTTAGCTTTCAGAACTCAGCTTTTAGAGTCAACACTCCACTCAGGTAATGCTTGGCACTAAGCATTATGCTGGTCACTTCCCTTCGACGCAAGTGTCGACCACTTTTCGGCCATTTCTGACACGATTCAAACCACATGTCAAAACCCTACCCCGGAACCACGTGTACATCATCCGCTCCCGAAACGGGCCGAGCCGCTTACCTTCGGGCCACGTGTCGAACACGAACTGCGCGATGTCGCCGGCCGAGTGGTATGTGCCGAACAGGAACTCGCGACTCTTGCCGCTCACCATGATCAGCCGCAGGTTGATCTGTCGCCGGGGAAGAGCGCACGTGACTTAACGACGGCGCTCGCGCTGCTCCGAACCGCCGACGGCCAGCCCCTCGGTCACACAGACGCTGAACAGGTGCTATCTGGTTCAACTGGCGCGTCAAATCGCAGTCAGTTGTCAAATCATTTGGCAGAAAGCTGATGGCTGTTGGCACGTGGCTGGCACTGGAGTAAATATGAGATCTTGAAAGTTGGCACATCGACAAATGGCTCTGGGTCCTGGAGTGGAGATAAGAGACTTTGCCAAGCAAGCAAGTGCAAAGAAAGCTTTGCAATGTTTGGAACTACTTCAAGCTACCATATTTCATTTTGATACCTATTTTATATTTCACATGAGGTTGCAACTCCAATCACAAAGCATTCTCAAATATCATGCAGCTGGTCACATCAAAAGAAGAATACAACTTATTATGACACAATCAGAACATAAGCTTCTGATGACTGCTTTTTTTTCTCCCACGAAAGGATGTGGTGCCCATGAAATCAGTGGTATGCCTCTAATATGTTGCAACAGCTCTGGGTGCATTATTTATCATCAAACAAGGGCTGAAAGGAATATAAGTTTATCCATTGCAAACTTTGGATTTCTTGATACTATATCCCAACCCATCTTTAAAGCAAATGCCCAGAGAGCATATCATCAGCATCCATTCTACAATGGAAGTACCAATCAGTTCAGGCATTACAAGGACCCTACACTAACAAATGCATCTTGCCAAAATGATTGTCAGAGCACCAATGGTTCCAACTAAATTACCTACAACCTCAACCACAGCATCAGGCCACCCCTCACAATGATTAGTAATGCCTGCTGGTCACGCACCTTGTCAGCTGGTATGCTCTTGTTTCGACTGGAGCCCGGACGAGACATGGCTACTTTGGCCTCTGTTGGCCGCGCCGTCCTTGAGGGAGACTGCGGCAGGTCGGCAGCCTGCTCGGCTGGCTCTGCCTCCTGCTGGGACAGCTCTGCAGGCAGCTCGCCTGGCTGTGCGGGCTGCTGGACTGTGGCCGTTGGCAGCAGGGTAGGCACGGCCGGCGGCGGGCAGCTAGTTTCCTCAACGGGATCCAGGGTGGCTCATGTGGGTTCACTTATTGATCCTGTGGGCCCATTAGGAGTCAGATAAATGAATGCCGCTCAAGGGTACACTGCACTAGCCTCCCGAGGATGCTGCACACCAGCATTGGACAGTTCACTGGGGCACTGGATTTGAACATGAATATGCCATAGTCATGGAGATAGAAAACCTATCTGCCCAATGTCACCTGTTGTAGTGTCTTGTGAATGTGCTGGCATTAAAAAACAGCACAAACCATTTTGTTTTGATGCATTTCTGGGGTCCAAGCTTATGCTAAGCAGTGCTCACTGCCATAAGAACAGCTCCCTGGAATTTAATTGCAATTCCAGTATGACAGCAAAACTTCTGGCAAAAGTTGAATGTGATGCAATCCTCAGCATGGCACACTGCACCCTCTGATGTTATCTGACCTTGAGCAGCAGCTACCATAAGGGCAGACTATCCCAGTGAGTGGCAAAACAAAGGAGCACCACAGTGTCTTGAGGCTACTCTTTGCACCACTGGTGGATTGGAGGGCAGGTGCTCATCTGCTCTGCCACTCCCCAAACTTATGCACAATACTTCACCTGTTTGGGACTTAAAAACACTGTTGTACATGACCCTGGCCAGGGAGTCAATGCAGCAGCAGAAATGGTTATTTCCCCTTTATAGACCAAACCTCCCCTACATAGCTAGCATATACTGCATCTATTCACCAACATTGAGCCTGATAATATATTTTCCTCAGTGCATGATGCTGACAGCTGAGCTGCATTAATATGTAGTCTTTACCAATAATTCCCACTAATCCCCTTATCATGGCCCAGCACAGCTCTATCATTGCTCTCCTAGATAAATGCCACCAGCAATATTATTGCCAGATGCCACAAAAACAGTGTGGAAAGGGAAACAGCTTTCAGTGACCAGCCTGCTCATAACTTTTTATCTACTTTAATATTGGTTTTCAAAAATCTTAATGACTTTCTGCAAACCATTACTTTGCCAACCCTAGCTGAAATTGAAAAAATCAAAATTTACACCCACATTTTTACTTGCCATCAATAGGCTGACCTTAACACACTTCTGGAACTTAATATTTCCAGACAAAACACCCAACAAATAGCCCTCAATCAATGTAGCACAAGGTACGATAACCTAATGATAATGATTTGGGGTTGTAGGGTGCATCAACTGCTGTAGGTCATACAGCACCCATACAATGACCTAATAAAAAATTAGATGAGACAAGCTCCGTTATACCATTTGGTATCCTTTAAATATAAGATGCTCTAGGAGCCATAATTTCTGTTGTAATCAAATATGCTCCTTGAAATGACAATGACCTAATAAAAAATAACATTTCAAAGAGCATATTTGATCACAACAGAAACTGTGGCACCTAGAGCATTTTCTTATGCTTAAAAGGATACCAAATGGTATAACTGAGCTTGTCTCATCTCATCTGATGTTTACTTCAATATCTTCAAGTGTCAGACATTTCTTTCAAAAAATTTCAAGCTCACTCTCCCCTGATAACACACACATTGTGTTAGATGGAATCCTCACAATCTTTGTAATGCTGGGATTTTTTTTTGCCAAAGGTTTTGGCACAACATATAATTGCACCTTATTAAGATTTTGTACTACCAAAACCCCACCATCTGTCCATCTAAACCACTGACAAAATGTGTTCAAACTGATTTGATTGGTGCTACATAAAAACAGTTAAAAGTTAAACAGGTTAGTAAGGTGACTAGGATCCAACTTACCAAACTGCTACCTACATCATCAGAAAAACCCTGAAATCAAGCTTTAACAAATGACTCAGACACACAAATGCCATCAGCAACTTTGATCATTTTGAAGATACTTAAAAACATCACCATAATACGAACAGTTTAAGCAGGTCACCACACCACGCTTAGGTCACGAACTGGTACACAATATAAAATCAGCCCACGGGTTGCAAAGTGACTTCAGTTATCAAACAAGCCAAGCCTCGAATCAGTTTCTTACAGTGCGAATCGTTCCATGAATATCCCATGCTGAGATTAAACCACATAAGAGAGATCTTGAAATGAATGCTCAGAATATAACCAAGTAAACATCTACTTGACCACCATAAACAAATAAAACATGGCGTGCGACTTTTCCCTTGTCACAGTGCCAGCTTTAGTTCTCTAAAATACCGCAAGAGGTGTGGGTAAGGTCATTTTGATGTATAGCTAAAAGGAGAACAAAAGCTGTATTTGGTTACTGAAGGCTCGATTATATATTTTATCATATAATATTAATATAATATACTTAAATAAATAAAAAGTACCTGACTATTATGCAAGGTTTGGTTTTATATAGCTCCGTGTGAAAAATGGCGGCGCACATAGGAAGGACTTTCTGCTTTAGGGCTTTTTCACATTCTAAGGCCAGTCCTTGGAAGGTTATTAAATCAACGAGATGGATAACGGGAGTGACGTCGTTGGATGGTGAGTATACTATTTAATTAACCACTCACTATGTCATGATTTGGTGTCCTGAAGACATTCTTGCTGTGCTGACTTCGTACCACATGCGCCGTGTAAGCGTTCGTAATTTCTTCCGGCTTCTGCGTTTCTAAATCATAGTTGTGCTACTTATCCATCATCGGTATTATTTTTTTTGCATCTGTGCAAGACAGACAGGATTTGGGGTGTATATCCTACACTTTGAGTGCCAGCAAAAATTTTGGAACGGGTGAAACACACTCAAAGACAAATCCAACTATTAAATTGACCTTTGCAGCCACTGATAGCATGTTCAAAGAGTTTTTTGGGGGAAAAATCTTACTTTTTAAAAAGTGTGTTGTACAGGCCATTTGTGTTTTTTTCAAAGGTATTGTTTTAGCAAGCACATTGTCCATGGAAAATTGTAGCTATCACCTTAGTTAATCTCTCCCATTTAAGTTACATGGAATTTTTAAAATATGTGATCTCGTGTCCTACCCCACGATAAAGCTCACTAAAACATTAAAATGCCTATCACATAATTGAAATTCAACCCTTGATTTTTACCACTAACATATTGAGAAGGACATCTGGAGAAATGACACACTCCCTGATTTACTGTTCCTGTGCCTGTGTTGCTGATTTACAAGTAGTCATTGGCTTGCAAGAAAAATTATGCAGTTCTACATCTACTTGAGAAATAAAGGTTGTTTGTGCCACTAACTTGGCCTTGACTTAAAGCTCAAAACATCACTTGAACATGTGGAAAGAGGTCCATCACCAGCATGTCTTCCTGCCTGCAGCATCATCTGGACTCACAGAAGAGCAACAACAAATACAAAAGCTTGCCCTAGACTTTGCAAAAAATGAAATGGCTCCTAAGATGTCAGAATGGGACCAACAAGTAAGTTGATGCTTGCACAGGGCTTAAAGACTTTGTCCTCTGGTAAGGCAATTTCCCCTGGCTTAAGGTTCTGATGCACTAAAAATAGCACCCTGCGAGATGGAGCTCTGCCATGGTGCACAGGTATAAATTTTGTAGTTAGTTAACCTTTGCTTTATTTTGTATGTTCATTTCTGCCTTAGTGTATTCTCAGAGGCTCCCATTAGATCTAATATACCAAATAAGCCTGGGCCACGCAAATTGACTACAGTTATGAGACATGCCAGCTTTTGAATCAGTTTCCTATACTATGAATTGTTCCATTAATGTCCTATCCTGATTTTGAATCAGGTAAGAGAGATATTTAAGGAAATCTTCATGGAAAAGCTGCCATCAAACTGCATGGCATTTGTGTGTCTGTCAATAATGAATGTGACCTGTGAAAGGTCAAACCAGTTGACACAACCCAATTAAGACTTTCTAGGCCCCTTTTGGCATATCAAGTACCAGGTATGCCATAACAATGTTAAATGCAGGACTGCCTTGGTCTTGAACAATTTTTGGACTGGTATTAGTGGGTATGGGTACAAATCACCTGTGATAGATCATGTTGGGTCAAATGGGTGAAGGCTGTTATATATTATATTATAGTTTGTAAAGTTACTAGAATGTCATAAATCAAACAAACTACATGAGAATGATGAGAATGGGGTTCAAAGGATATCTTCGAGCTGTAGAAAGGTGTCATTAGGATCTAAGCAAGATGATCTTCTAATGGTCAAATTTTGTCACAAAATTCAAAGGTTGATCTACCGTGACCATGGATGGCCTGCCCCTGCAATAGCCACCAGGATGTTAATTTTGCACTGCAAAGTGGCCAAGACTAGACAAGAAGTGTAAGAAAACACTTCAGTGTGCACTTCCCGCAAGAAGTAATTTTTGTTTGTCACCTTTGAACGAAATGTCAGTGACATAACCTCGAGAATGGAGTCATACTTCACAAGCCGTCGATGTCAAAAAAATTCAAATCTGCATGAGTTGCATGAAAATTTGTACTCAAAACTGATCAGAAGTTATTTTGGAGCAATATTAGGGAGGCTCCTGAGCGCCCCTCCCCTCATGGGGGTAACTTAAAGGGCCAGTTCCAAACTTGGTTACTGGTTTTGAGCTGCAAGAGCTAGTTTCTGACCTACACGCCTGCGAATATGTACAGGCTTTTTCGGGCGGACTATTTCAAGGACATCAAAGCCTCCGTGACGCCATAATAATGATTTTCAAATTGTGTTGTTCCATAAGACATGTGTCGATCAAGACCACGAAAAATTTGTCGATTCGTTCATGTCTGGCGCCCGCGACCACAATTTCCAGATATAACGGCCGTCATTTGGCTCTATCAGCATTGTGCAAGATGCGATGGCGCAATCAAATGAGAACGTATTGAAAGGCACATTTACTAAACAGTGATATTTTGTGGTCTTGAGCAGTCTTTGACACTTAGAAGCAAATTTGTAGTTACAGTTAAACTTGCTTATTCATGCCTGCTGCTTGCCGCAATGTCTCGAAATGTGGACCATTCCCTTGAAAGGATTTTTGTCTCGTGTTGCTCCAAAAAATTGGTGCCTCAATATACGATCGTTTGAATAGTTGCTGCTAACCTATCTGTGTCAGAATTTCCCCTGTAGCTGAGGGGCTGATTCACTTGTAGTATTTCAACTTGCCGAGAGGTGGCGGTGTTTACTGGACCGTGTTTGCTGGACCCAAATATCGTTGTATGATTATGTGTTGGCCCTATCTCGTGCCATTCTTGCACATTTTGCCGCGAATTTGCATTTTTCACCGGCATTTACATGCGTGGTTATGAAGTTTGCCTTACGGTATTCGATTCTTAGCCTTGTGTCCTTCACAACCCGTCCCACTGGCAGAATTTTTGCATTATGTAGCACAAAACGTGATTTGTATTTGAAACTTGCACTGAAAGCAACACACTGGTTGATGGCCAGCTGAAGTCTGTTGATGCCAGAAATTGTGCAGACGTACGCCACGAATGACTCAATGATCATATTCTTTTTGACCTTGGGCAACACATGGCCAGTGAGATGGCGGTGTTGGTGTAACGTGTCTTTTTTGTGTATGCCCGGATGACCTTGAAATAGTCTGCACGAAATAGTCTGCACAAGCTCAGGGAAGAGCGTCAAGCTCAGAATCTTGTGTCTTGAGTCTTAAAAGGGCATGGCTGTGGACATTCAACCCCCATAAATGTGTGGAACACTCCATTTAAGTAGCTGAAATGTGCATGCATCTAGGAATTACATCGGCGTTTCAGTAAGGGAAAACATCTTGACTGTGAAACAGGAAGTCCCAAGTTATCTACTCTGGATGGCCTGTCGATGCCCAGCCGCCTCATGCAATAGCTCAATCTCGTCATCGAGTGGTTTGTTAAGTCCAAAGTCCGTTTGATCACCAGTCATGAAACATAAAGCCAACCGCGAACTCAACACACCAAACTTCGATTTGTTCTTCTCTGACAGCTAACGGAGGGCATCACATAACCCCGATAATCCGGCCCGATGTGTCGGAGACGAGACGGCTGTCCTGCTGCCTGCCGTCCGCCGGGGTACGGTGACGTTCACTGACCGTCGGCTGCCGCCCCGCCAGGAGGTGTTCCCGGTGGAGACGATGCGGCGCGCGGCCGCCCCTCGGCTTCGGCGCAATCTACGCGCGTGAGGAGCACGGCGGCACCGGACTGTCGCGGCTGGACGCGTCGCTCGTGTTCGAGGCGCTCTCGCAGGGCTGCGTCACCACCACCGCCTACATCAGCATTCACAAGTGAGAGCGGCAGACGGCGGCGGTGCAGTTTGCGGTCGTGGTAGTGTTGATGATGGGACCGCACTCCTTTTGTGGCGTATGCTGCTACCTCTGGCGGTCTACCCATGCCTGTAGAGCGCACGCCGTGTTGGTTGAGTGTTCATATACACGTGATTCCCCGGATCGAGGATCGCCGCCAAGTCATTCTTTGGGGTGGTCGAGGGCGGCCAGCTGGTCGTGCTATTCTTGCTGTTTTCGGCAGCCAACCTCTGCGCTAGGCTGCGTCGAACGGTGTGGCTCAGCGTGGAAGAAACATCTTCATGACTTTGACTGTTTTTTGTTTTATAAATGTCGTGTTGTCTAAATAGCTAAATGAACTTTTAAGCCGGCATGCTTACTATATATTTGATTTGCGTATTTTCCGTTTGAGTGCTGGCTCCGTTCTTACGCTGCAAAACGCCACGGTATCAGGCCGAGCTTACCCGCTGTCCCAGCTAATTGGGACTGACTGGGAAAAGCGACGGGCGCCCAGAGCCACCGCCGTCCATGCCCGTGTCTGACGCCCCATCCTCTGTCCCACTGCAGCATGTGCGCTTGGATGGTGGACGAGTTCGGCTCGACCGAGCAGCGCGCCCGCCTGGCTGCCGTCGCTCGCCTCGATGGAGCGGCTCGCCTCGTACTGCCTGACGGAACCGGGGTGCCGGCTCGGACGCCGCCTCGCTGACGACGGCGGCCAGGGCGTGACGGCGACCACTACGTACTGAACGGCTCCAAGGTAGTTGGCCGCTTGGTTCTGCGGCGCTGCTCGATGGCCCGGCGGCGGGTGGCGTCTCCAGAGAACAGCGCCTCGCCGGCGGCGGGTGGCTTCCCCGGAGGACAGCGCCTTGCCGGCGGCGGGTGGCGTCCCCGGAGGACAGCGCCTCGCCGGCGGCGGGTGGCGTCTCCAGAGGACAGCGCCTCGCCGGCGGCGGGTGGCGTCCCCGGAGGACAGCGCCTCG